TCTGAATTTGGTCAGGTGATGTTGCAATGGTCGTAAGTGTGAAAAATGATCATAAGTCACCTTTTCAGTGCTGTTGTAACTTCGAATAGTCATTAAACGAATATTTGTAAATTGGGGACTACTTGAAAAAGGAAATCTAGGTTAGGGCTTCAAGTTAGACTAGGAAGCGGGAAGAAAATTCCCATAAAGCGGACACAATGGCAAACCATCTCCATATTCTGCCAAGAATCGACGTAGGTGTCTCCAAGAAGACTTCAGAGCTAAGAATTCCATGGAATTAAAAATATGTGAAAAAACATCCTGTTTCCTTATTTCTCCCCCCCTCCCACTTTTTTTTTGCAAAATCATTTTCACTTACCTGTAAAAAAAAAAAAAAAAATCCCGTCTGTTACCCAGTGAAGTTTTTATTTTGTATTATTTTTGTTTCAAATATTTTATTCAGTTTATCAGAATATAAAATATAAAAGAAAATGAAGAGATTGGGAAAATGGGAGAGGAAAAAGGAAATGGAATGGAAAGGAAGGGAAGAGCAAGCAGTATAGTATAGTACAGTACAGTACAGTACAGTACAGTACAGTACAGTACAGTACAGTACAGTACAGTACAGTACAGTACAGTATAGTATAGTACAGTACAGTACAGTACAGTACAGTACAGTACAGTAGTCTATTCTAGTCTATTTCTTTCATCCTGAGCCACGGTGGCGCAGTGGTTAGAGAGCAGTACTGCAGGCTATTCCTGCTGACTGCCAGCTGCCTGCAATTTGGCAGATCGAATCTCAGGAGGCTCAAGATTAACTCAGCCTTCCATCCTTCCGTGGGTAAAAGGAGGACCCAGATTGTTGAGGGCAATAGGCCGACTCTGTAAATTGCTTAGAGAGGGCTGTAAAGCACTGTGAAGCGGTATATAAGTCTAAGTGCTATTGCTATTTATTGCCACTTTGAATGTACATTAATCGGCATTCAAATGAAATTTAGTTGCATATAGCTCTCAAAGGGTCACAACCTCCAATATACACTAGATAACCATGACAAAATAAATAAATAAATACAAAATTATACATGCACCCACATATATTATATGACAGAGGAAAAAATGTAGAGTATAGATGGAAAAAGAAAGAAAAACATTGACCCTTTTAACGCAGTAAAACAGAATAATAGCATTGTGGCCTGAACTTTTTACTGTTACATGCTAATCTAGGCTAGCCATTTCTATAATAACAAGCTATCTTATCAGCAAAACCCCCATTTTCATTTTTTTTCCTTTCTTTTTTCCATCTCAAGCCCCACATCAAAAACACCCGGTGAAGATTTTACGACATGCCCGAGATCTCAAGCTGCCTTCTGCACTGACTGACAGACTGTCAAATTAGGGGTAAATCCTGACAGTTTCATGACATGTCGTTTTGTGCTCAGAGAAAATGATGCGAGCCCCGTCTCTCCACATCCATCTGTTAGGGCTGTCGGAATTCCACCCCCACCCCCCCGCCCCACATCTCTCTGAGATGTTGACACCCTGGTAAGGGAGGAAATACATCTGCCATTTCCCAAAACAAAACAGCATTTTACGTGGGATGGGGGTCCATCTTCGTTTGCAATGGTTGTTGTGTCTTAATTCTTGTCCGAGGAGGAGTGAAGGTTACTCCTTTGGACTTGAAGGGCGAAACGAACTATTACAGGAAATTGGCTTGCTAAATTGGCCAGCCCACCTTCCTGGCACAGCATGTTGACTTTTATGAAATATTGCATTTGAAGGGAAAATCTCTCTTATTATCAGCAATCTTTACAATGAGGGGAAAATCTCTCTTATTATCAGCAATCTTTACAATGATTTTAGGAGATTGGATGGGAACTAATCAAGGAGAGGAGCAACCTAGAACTAAGGAGAAATTTCCTAACGGTGAGAGCAATCAACCAGTGGAACGGCTTGCCTTCAGAAGTTGTGGGTGCTCCAACGCTTTTAAGATGAGACTGGACGGTCATTTGTCTGGAATGTTATAGGGACTCCTACTTGTCCAGGGAGTTGGACTAGATGGCCTCCAAGGTCCCTTCCAACTCTGTTATTCTGTGTTCCCCAAGTATTTCCGGCTTTGCAGACCGGCGAGGAAAGGGGAGGGGAAGAGAATGAATGGTTCTGCGTGAGCAGCAGGCCAACCCGCCCGCACGCCGTTTCGGTGGCCCTGTTGCAAACAGCTCACGGCCCACTAGTGGGCCGCAGCCCTGAAGTTGGGGACCTGTACTATCTCCTCCAGGTTGGTTCCATATCTCACCTAACCTGAAGAGACTTGTTAGGTAAGTAGCCAGAGGGTCTTTGGGATGTATGTTAGTGCACCAACTCCTAAACCCTTCACCCTACGTGAGCAGGGTGTTAAGTGTACCTCCGTGGTGAATCTGTGCTCTTAACGTACCTGGGGACTAATGAACGTGGAAGATTAAGGCCGCTTCACAGCTTCACCAAGAACGTCCTGCTTAATGACTCATCTAGGGTAAAGGATTTAAGAGCTGTAACATTTACATAATATCCCAATGATCTTTTGTTTACTCATCTAACAAACCTATCCTGATCAGGTAACGAATATAGACCTCTCTGGAAGAGACACAAGGGGTCTCCCTAACCAACTTGTTCAGACTGAAGAAGCTACTTGGATAAGCAACAAAACATTTCGAAGCCACAAGAAGTCTAGTTGCCATGACTCAACTTCCAGGCACCGGAGGGGAAAAAAAACCTTTTTTTCTGTATGAGCCACCTTGAAATCTCAAGAGATCAGGCAGGTTATACGGTTAACAATAAATTAAATAAACGCCAGAACCTCTGAACAAATTGTAGGAGGGCTTTGATGGTCATTGATCTATTTCTGTTCAGTGGGAAACCATGACTTAACTACGGCTGACGGATCTACCGCCCACCTGTTTTACTCCTGTTGTTCAATACTTGCTAACTTTTATCCAACGCAGCCGAGTATTTTATTTATATGATAAGCTGCTATGACAAACATGGTTGTGTTTATAAGGATGGGCGAGCAGGAAGGTTTTCTCTTTGAAAAGCTTCTAAGGCCGTGATGGCAAACTTATGGCATGCGTGCCGGGAGTGGCACACAGAACCATCTCTCTGGGCATGTGAGCCGTCGCCCGTTGCTTTTCCAGATTCTGGCGCGCCAGCTGGCTGGTCTTCAGGCGTCCGGGAATGCTGGAAACCGGAAGAGCAGCTGCCTGGTGCGCATGCGCACCCTGGGCGGCTGCTCTTCCGGTTTCCAGCGCACCAGCCACCTGGTCTTCCAGTTTCTGGCACCCATGCGCGCGTGAAGACCAGCTGGCCGGTGTGCATGTGCATGCCGGAAACTGGAAGATCATTTTTCTGGTGCATGCATGCGCACCTGGCAGCTGCTCTTCCGGTTTCCAGCGCTCCCGCACACGTGAAGACCATGTGGAACCTGGAAGAGCATGTGCGCCAGAAACTGGAAGACCAGGAGGCCAGTGCTCATGCATGCCGGAAACCGGAAGAGCAGCCACTTGGCGCATGTCAAAAAGGTTTGCCAACACTGTTCTAAGGGGTGAAATCATAGCAAAGAAATTTCAGCTCACCTGAGTACAATTGGCTAGTATTTCTGCGCTACCTCAGCTCAATGGTGATCTTGTGATCTTCTAAAGAAAAAAGAAAACGGCACTGGTGGGTTTTTTAATGCATTGCCTAAATTTGCTTTAAGCTATCATTTACAGCTCATAAACACAAATAGCTAGATTCGTACACTGGAAACTAAAATTAAAATGTGTTACTAGGGCCTAGCATGCATCTGAGTCCCCGATCACACCCATATTTGTCAACTCTGAAGTCTTGAAGGAGAAGCAATAGCAATATTTATTTTAAAATGTTCAGAAAACCTATGATTGAAGGCACTCATCTGAAGGCTTCTCTAAATTCAGGATTTAAAAAAAAATCGGTGGCTTATAAAGCGTAGCAAGTTCGATGTATGCCAGTTGCCAAGTGTCCAAAGTTTGATCACATGACCATGGGGATGCTGCAACAGTTGTTAAGTGTGAAAAACAGTAAGTAGAGGGATAGAAGGAGGGGAGAAGAGAGGAAGGAGAGAGAGGAATAGAAGAAAGGAAAAAGGAGAGGAAGAAAGGGAAGGGAAATAAGAGTAGGCGAGAAGATTAGGAAGGGAGGAGGAGTGGGGCAAAGGAAGGGGAAGTAAAGAAAGGAAAAGAGAGGAGGAAAGAAGAAAGTAGAAAAGGATAGAAGAAGGAAGGGAAGGGAAAGAGAGGAGAAGGATTGTTGTAAAATAAGAGAGATGGAATGGTAGAAGGGCACCCCCGAGTATACTCAAAACTTATTAGGATGAAGAATGAACTAATATGAAAGTTAAAAGAGAATATATATGATTAACAATGGATAAGATAAGATAACCAACTGAAATAATGTTAAGAAATTAGGATTTGAGGGCGGATGATGATACTGTTTATATAATAAGTATAGAAGTATTAAGATAAGATAAAAAAAAATAGGGAAAAAGAATACTTTGGCAGAAATTGAAATTATGTAAAGTGTATTTGGATACGATAAATTATATAAGATATGATTTGGTCAATACTCTGTTCATAAAATATGTGGGTGAAAGAAAAAAACAATAAAACTTGTTTCAAAAAAAAAAAGTGTGAAAACCGGTAATAAGTCGTGGGGTTTAGTGCCATTGTAACTTTGAACAGTCACTAAACAAATAGTTGTTAAGTCAGGGACTAACCTGTATATCAAAGCTGCTGTTTCCTTTCTTGGAATGAGTCAATATCATCTCATAATATGATTGACACCCCTTTTCTTTCTACAGCTCCAGATTCTACTGTTGAAATTACCTTCTAATCTGTCTACTGGCTCAACTTTCAACGAGTTGAGTTTTTCAAGCGACACTCTTTAAGATCATAGCGTCGGCAAAGCATTTCATGTTCCACCAGAAACAAGGAAAAACCCTTTCGGATTGCTCCCAAAAAACATACGTCAGTCACTTTCCCAACTAAAATATAAAATATATTTATGATTCTTTCAGCATAATAACCAAATAAACATCATCAAAGACAGTTTAAACTGGATAGCCCTTTTTGGATACGATCCATTGCCTTTCCAAGTCCAGAACCAAACTGGAATATTTTTAGATCTTTGTTCATTAGTCATCCAAGAATTAAGTGCCTCAATCCTTACTGAACAGGTGTTATTAGAAAGGCATTGGCAGATAGGTGGGAAACCCTCTTCGGCCATTAACTCTGAAGGCTCCGTTCCTCCTCCAGACTAGACCCATCTAGAAGCAATGGCTGTGGTCCCACCAGTTTTCCAGAATGTAATCCTCCAAACCAGAACGGCTTTGGTGTTTTAGAGGCCCGTTTGGCTTCCGTGCGTCGCTTCTCATTCGGCTTCTGCACATCGCTGCTTCTTACTCTTTTTCAGAAGAGCCCTTCAGGCTCGACTTCCGTCTCTTCTTCTCCTTCTGTCCGATAATACGGAAAAGTTTCTTCCTGGCTTCCTTCTGCCTCTTCAGCTTCGCTTCTTCCTCTTTCTCTTTCTCTTTCTGGTGCACTCTAACCTGCTGGCGGTGCTGCACCTTGTTCTTCTGCGCCTTGTGGTTGTGTACCGTGCCCAGAGCCGAGAGAAGCGCTGCGACCTTAACACAAGAAGAGTACACAGTGTTGGAGCGACCCGAGCCCAAAGTTGGAAAACACAACCCAAAAGGAATCCAAGATACAACACGACCACATGCTGGGGTTTAAATTGTAGCAATTATCAACTCCGTATCTTTAGTATCTAGCATTAGCAAAGAAGCTGCCTACACCTCTTTCAAAGGTCTCAGAAAGGCTGGCTTAATTCCTTTTATTGTACCCACAATCACCAAAGTAATTGCTATGATTAATTCAAGCGTTAAAATACATTTTTTTTCTTGATCCTTGGATCAGGAAACTATTAAAAGGTAACACGAACGATGCCTGCTGAGGGCTGCTAAATCTGTATTTAACTACCTACCGTTCTGTCCGATAAAAAGTCATTTCATCCCACACTGGAAAGCTACTCAAAGCAATAAATCTTGTCGCTGTATTTACTACCTGTAGACACTGATAAAAGAGTTCATCAGAGCTGACAGGTTACCTGGGGCACATTGCACAACCAGAGTAGGACACAACTTGGGAGTTGGTGCAGTTGCTATTTCAAGCCTCGAAAAAGCAAGGAAGCTTCTTAAGAAGAAAACCTCCCCTAAAAGTTTGAAGGGTTGCGTAAATACAATAGTCCTGGATATACAGCCACAATTCAGCCTAAAATTCATGTCGTTAAGCGAGACATTTGTTAATGTGAGTTGTGCCCTATTTTACATCCTTTCTGGCCACAGTGATTAAGTGAATCACTGCAGGTGTTCAGACAGTAACACGGGTTGTTAAGTGTGTCTGGCTTCCCCCGTTGACTTTGTTTGTCAGAAGGTCGCAAAAGGGGATCGTGTGACCCCCGGGGGACACTGCAACCGTCATAACTATGAGTCAGTTGCCAAGAATTTGAATTTTTATTGTGCAACCATGGGGATGCTGCAAGGATCATTAAGTATGGGAAATGTCCCTTTCTTTTTTTTTCAGTGCTGCTGTAACTATGAACTGTTACTAAGTGAACTGTGTCAGTGTATAAGAAATTACGAGCTGGGATAGCCATAACAAGTCAGCCAATGGGAACTGTTTGGTGACTAAGAAACAGCATCTTTTGTGAACCATGTGAGATGGCTTGGAGCACTTAGCTTAACTGGTCTGTATAAATATAAGTTCTGTGCTTATAGATTCTAGTGCTTCTGATTCTGAGTTCTGCTTCTAACTTCTTGTCTTTGTCCTTGCTACTGTGTTGAAAGAGCTGCATGGGTATTGTATACATGCATCATATTTGTATATAAAGAGGTTTCTTCTATAAATGAATCCTGCTGAATTATTTACTTGTGTGCTGGATGAAAGCTGCAAACTCTAATATACTGGTGTAAGTCAAGGATCACCTGCACGTAACACAGGTCTTCTTCCAATTGTGCTTAGTGGAATGTGGACCAAGGATGTGAATCAGAATGAAGCTGTGTAGGATCAAATTCACCTCTAAAAGGAGCCCATGGCAAATCTTTCATCAATTTTACATCTTTATAACGCCCACTGTGATGCCTACAACTATTCTGGGTGAAATTGATGATGAGGAGGAGAGCTGCTATGAAGGCCGTAAAAGATCTCACCTTCCTTTCATGCGGTTCCCTGATGACAGCTGGTCTCCACTGATCCTTGGTGACTTTCTTTTTCCTTTCTTGGAACTTGGGCTTATTCTTAAACGGCAAGGCTTTCTGAAGAGCTTTGGGAATATGCAGCTTGTTGAAATGTTTCTTCACCCGCGTTATCGGCTAAGAAAGGGTGGGGGGGAGAAAGGAACGGTCAAAGTATTGTTTTTCGGGACCATGCAAAGTATTTCATTCGGAATTGTTTCGCACACATTTGGTGGAATGTCCTTCTTTGAGCAAAACCCCCCAAAACAAAACAGACTCTTTGTTTCAAGCTGCAAGTGCTTTCAGGAATGATGTAGAGTAAGTGGAATATTTCATATTTGAAATGCAAATAGTTGCACAATTACACACACACGCACACGCGCGCGCACACACACACACACAAAACCAGTTTAGGGCAAACATTTTGCATTCCCTTGCTGCTTTGTTGTGCGCTACTTTCGGTGAGGTCACTTCATTTTGCACTGAAAAAATTGACCGCCAGTACCAATAACAGTTTCTTTATTTAATCGACCAACCGGCAATCTGCAGGCTACACGCAATCTCTAAAATAATTTCTGTGGGTCCCAGCCGATTCAAATCATTCCACCAAAAATTCAGTAGTCCATAAATAAAAATAATTACTGAAGTCTTGGAACATGCTTAAAAGTTTAAAACAAATTTCTAACATACACTGTAACAGCAAAATTCTGCCCCTTCCTTTAATGCCTCTTTCTACTATTATGCCATCCAGTGTCCTTTTCGGATTTGTTTATTCATCCAAGAAAGACTCTGGAGCCTGGGGAGGCGAAAAATAGGCCTACTGGGCCCACTGTGCCATCGCATGCCAAAAGCAGGGGAAGTACGGGAGGTCACGCGCGCATTGAATTATGGGCGTTGGCACGCATGCGTGTGACCTCCCTGTGCTCCCCCCGCTTTTGGCACACAACGGCAAAAAGGTTAGCCATCACTGACCTAATCTATCTATCTATCTATCTATCTATCTATCTATCTATCTATCTATCTATCTATCTATCTATCTATCTATCTATCTATCTATCTATCCATCCATCCATCCGCCCACCCACCCACCCACCCACCCATCGTTGTATCTCTCTATCGATTGATCAATCTTTCTAATCACCTTATCTCTCTAATCACCTTATGTGTGTCTCTCTCTCTTGCCAGCTAGCTGGCCGGCCGGCCAACCAGCCAACCAACCAGCCATCTTTCTCTCAATAAAATGAAGAAAGAGACCCCCATCCGGAATCCCTACAGTGAACAGATGCCCAAACTAAAATTAGATTTCTCAACTCAGTCTCCCTACCCACGTGGCAGAAACGGTGCAAGATTCTTGGAAGGGGCCCAGTATCTAAACCGCAGCACCGGAGACAAAATCAGTTTTTGAAAAACCCTGCCACACAAACACATCACACAGAACGTCCTACCTTATAGAGGGAGTCCTTGTTTTGCTTCAGCCTGATACCTTTCTCGTGTCTCAACTGGCCCGTGGTCTTCATTCCTACCCAAGAGGATTTCTCACCCGGAGGCTTCAGTAAAGAGGTGACCGGATTATAGAAGGCAGGGGTAGATACAGGATACCATGTTCGCATGAATACGATATCTGAGGAAAAGAGAAAATGGGGAATTTTTTTAAAAAATGGATTTTCCTCTTCATTGCTCACAGATTTGGAAGATACCTGGATTTTACGACTGCGTGTCAGGGTTCCAAGTAATACCCCAACGAAAGAAAACTGTGAGGCTTGAGATTCGTCAAAGTTCCATTTTATTAGAGATGTCATATCGGCACATCTGGGAAAACCTGAATCTGAAGGTTTCCAGGTTTTCCCTACCAAAAGAAAAGTCCAAGTCCCTGCCCAGCACCCACAAGTCCATCACATGGTCCAATCAAAGCACCATCCCAACTGGAGATACCTCCCAATCCCAGTCCTCCAGGTGCAGGACAAGATGTCGATTCTTTGAAAAAGGAATGTTATTATGACTATATATCACCCATGCTCCACACAATTCTCCTCTCCCATTTTCTCACAGTAGTAAACGTGGCAAGTCTGAAGGCCTAATGCAAAAGATGGCTTCCAGGCCTGACACTGCTATCAATTGATGTCACGTTTTTACCTGGATCTCGTTTCTCCTTGGGAATTAGTGGCACAATTTTAAACTTAAGTTTAAAACTGTACTGAGCTATATATATCATGCCCCAACACTGCTGATGTTGATATAGACCTAGGTAGTCCTCGACTTACAACGGTTCATTTAGTGACCGTTCAAAGTTACGGACAGCATTGAAAAATTGTGACTTACAACTTTGAAACAAGTGACTTTAGGACCGTGGTTTCACACTCACAACCGTTGCAGCATTCTCCCATGGTCACGTGATTAAAATTCAGATGCTTGGCATGTGGTTCATATTTATGACGGTCGCGGTGTCCGGGAGGGTCACAGGATCCCCCTTTTGCAACCTCCTGACAAGCCAAGTCGACTGGGAAGCCTGGATTCACTTAACAACGGTGTCGCTAATTTAATAAAAGCAACGATTCGCTTAACCACTGTGGCAAGAAAGGTCGCAAAAATGGAGCAAACTTACTTAACATATGTTTCACTTAGCGACATAAATTTCCAGTCCCCAATTGTGGTCCTAAGACGAGGACTACCTGGATTTCCAATAAGCACTGGATCTTTACTTCCTGTTAATGGGCCCCCTCCCCTCCTAAACTCCCAAAAGAAAGCAACAAAACATGTTTAAACATGTTTAAAACCACTACATTTTTTACGATAGGGAAGCACCCTATGTATTTGGGAGTAAGTTTCTTGCAAGTTTCCTTCCTTCCTTCCTTCCTCCCTCCCTCCCTTCCTTCTCTTTCTTTCTGTCTCCCTCCCTCCTTCCTTCCCTCCCTCCTTCCCTCCTTCTCTTTCTCTCTCTCCCTCCCTTCTTCCCTTCCTATTTTCTCTTTCTCTCTCTCTCTCCTTCTCTCTCTCTCTCTTTCTCTCGCCCTCCCTCCCTTCCTATTTTCTCTTTCTTTCTTTCTCTCTCTCTCTCTCTCTCTCTCTCCCCCTCCCGCCCGTCCCTTCCTCCCTCCCTCTCTCTCCAGCCGAAAACTAATTCAGCTCCCTGTTTGGAGATCTGGATATAAAATTGCCTGAGCTAAACCACGGCTTTGCAGTTCTTGTATTCTCAGATTGGTGAAGGATGCCTCGTCACAGCTGCTGACTCTCCGTCTTCCCAATTCCCCCATCACAGATGCATTCCAACCCCAGAACTGATCTTCCTCCTGACTCCGATCAGTCAGTTTCAGATGTGCAAAACTGCAAAAGCCAACTTACCACTCATCAGCAACTTGTCTTCAAAAGTTGCTCGGAAGGCCCCCTCTGGGGTCCTGAGGGCTTTCTTAATCTGTCCTCGGATGCCGCTCACCGTACGGATGGCTGCCCCCTCAAACCTAGCCACTTCCAGCACCGAGTTAAACATCCCCTGCGTGGCATGGAAAAACATCTCTATTTATGGCGTATCAGGATTAACAATAAATAGCAATAGCACTTAGACTTATATATTGCTTTACAGTGCTTTACAGCTCTCTCTAAGTCAGTGGTTCTCAACCTGTGGGTCGGGACCCCTTTGGGGGTCGAACGACCCTTTCACAGGGGTCGCCTAAGACCATTAGAAAACATATATTTTCAATGGTCTTAGGGATAATTTTATTGTTGGGGGTCACCACAATATGAGGAACTGTATTAAAGGGTCGCAGCATTAGGAAGGTTGAGAACCACTGAAGAAAGAAAGAAAGAAAGAAAGAAAGAAAGAAAGAAAGAAAGAAAGTTCCTAAAGGACAACCTTCTGAAATAAAGGATCAGCATTTACAAAAAGGGAAATAGGGTCACTATTTATTTATTTATTTATTCATTTATTTATTTATTTATTTATTTATTTATTTGATTTATATGCAAGAGGCTGACTCTGTAAATTGCTTAGAGGGCGCTGTAAATTACAGCCCTCTCTAAGCGGTTTACAGAGTCAGCATAATTGTCCCCAACAATTTGGGTCCTCATTTTATCAACCTCGGAAGGATAGAAGGCTGAGTCAACCTTGAGCCTGGTGAGATTTAATCTGCCAAATTGCAGGCAGCCGGCAGGCAGCAGAAGTAGCCTGTACTGCATTCTAACCACTGCACCACTGTGACTCAATGTCAAAGAACCAATGTTTCTTCTAATTCACTTTCCTCTGTTACTTATTAAGAAGCGTGCTTTTTTTCTGTTTTTAAATCAACATTTCTGCCACAAATGAACACAGGCATGTCTCTAATAAACCACAAATGTACCCAAATTTACTTTGGTCTTTTTTAAATTTGTTGCATTAAACAGCACACCAGGATAAATTTTAACTTTGAACTCATACCCAGAGTCTCCTGAGGTGGGTAGCCATGGTAATTTAAATAAATAAAGCTGAACAACACATGACTTACAAAGACCAAACGGCAAAAATTTTCTGCTCAAACTCGTACCTTAATGAAAGCTGTATTCTTGAAAATTTTGAAAGGGAAACCGATCAACTTTAATTTCTTCACGATCCTTATGGACTTATCCAAGTCCAGCACAACTCCAGTAGCAGCTATCCGAAAATCAGCCTGAAATAACAAAAGTCCATTTATGATGAATGAAGTTCTTTTTATAAAAAGTCTATGGATTTTGATTTAGTTTACTTTCTCTGCATCTCTATGGAGATTCTCTGTCATCCAGATCATGGTTGTCCCAAAGGTGCTTTTTTTTTAATTTCAAGAGGCAACTGGACTTTCTTGGTTTTCCCTTGAAGACGTTTCACTTCTCATCCCGGAAGCTTCTTCAGTTCTGACTGAATGGTGGAGGATGGAAGGATTTAGATGCCTTGCAGTCATCTGGTCGCTAGCACTCTCTCTGAGAGCTGTTGAGGCTACTTGGGAGGTTTTTCTAGGAATGTAAACCCCATCCATCCTCCACCATTCAGTCAGAAGAGAAGAAGCTTCTTGGAGGAGAAGCGAAACGTCTTCAAAGAAAAACAAAGGAAGTCCAGTTGCCTCTTGAAAGAAAGCACTTTTGGGCAGGGGTGGGCTTCAAAAATTTTAGCAAGGGGTTCTCGGCCCAGTTGCTGGGTGGGCATGGCCATGGTGGGCGTGGCCTAGTCAGCCTCCTCCACTACAGCGGGGGGGGGGGGAGTTTTTGCCCTCCCCGGGCTCCGGGGGCTTTCCTTGAGCCTCTGGGAGGGCGAAAATGGCCTCCCCAGGCTCTGGAGGCCAGAAACAAGCCCGAACATTTGGTAGGCCCATTTTCTTTTTTTAATTTGATTTATATGCCGCCCTTCTCTGAAGACTCAGGGCGGCTTACAATGCGTTAAGCAATAGCCTTCATACTTTTGTATATTTATACAAAGTCAGCTTATTGCCCCCACAAGCTGGATCCTCAATTTACCTACCTTAGAAAGGATGGAAGGCTGAGTCAACCTTGAGCCTGGTGAGATTCGAACTTACAGTAATTGCAGACAGCTGGTGTTAATCACAATGCTATCAGTCTGCTGAGCCACCAGGCCCTCCTCCTCGACCTTCCCGAGCCTCCACACGCGCTCTGCACTTACCTGCATCCAAAATGGACCATGTGAGGATTCCTGGGAGGGGAGGGGTGGGCGGAGCCAGCCAGGAGTGGGATTTGGGGGTTCTCTGAACTGCACAGAATCTTAGCTAGAGGTTCTCGCGAACCCTCAGGAGCCCAACCCTGCTTTTGAGACTTTCTTTCCCTGTGTCACACTAGAGCCATTTATTTGAGACGACCTAGAAACCTGACACCCTGCATGGAAACTCTTTGAGGGGAAAAATATTTTTATAGGAATTTTTTAAAAAAATCAGTATGGACCAGGGCTTAGTAAAACAACTTGAATATCTTCCTCTCAATGTTACCTCCGTGAGTGGAGCCATTTATTAGAACTTCCAACTGCCAAAGGTGAAACTATTTGGGTTCATCTTCAACAGGGCACTTCACAAATAATAAAGCAATCGTAAGAAAGAGATAGGAAACCTATCCCTGCTAATGTACTTACCATTGTACCACTCACAGATTGGACGGCCAAACACCCGGTCCCTTGTGGAGTGATGGGTCCTATAAAGAAGGTGGAATGAAATCATCAATCAATGATTTAACAGTGTGCCTTTATCTGTCTGTATATAATGTTTGTTTATAATGAAAACCTCCTATACTACCACCTCTTACAATACTAAACAACACAGTATCAACAGTAGACTCCTTCAGGTTTCTAGGTTCTATCATATCTCAAGACTTAAAATGGACACCTAACATCAAAAACGTCATCAAAACAGCACAACAAAGAATGTTCTTTCTGTGCCAACTCAGGAAGCTCAAACTGCCCAAGGAGCTGCTGATTCAGTTCTACAGAGGAATGATTGAGTTTGTCATCTGCACTTCTATAACCGTCTGGTTTGGTTCTGCAACCCAACAAGACAGACACAGACTTCAACGGATAATTAGAACTGCAGAAAATGCAATTGCTACCAACCTGCCTTCCATTGAGGACCTGTATACTACATGAGTCAAAAAGAGGGCTGTGAAAATATCTACAGACCCCTCACATCCTGGACATAAATTGTTTCAACTCCTACCTTCAAAACGACACTATAGAGCACTGCACACCAGAATAACTTGACACAAGAACATTTTTTCCCCGAATGCCATCACTCTACTAAACAAATAATTCCCTCAACATTGTCAAATAATTTACTAAGACTGAATTACTATTATTCTTCTCTTCCTTACTAGTATCTATCTCTTCCCTCATATTATTATAACTATGTGCTTGTATCTTTCAATTTATATTCAATTCAATTTATATTGTTTTTACTTGTTTCCTAGTATGATTTGATAGTTTATTAGTAAACTTGACTATCACTAAGTGTTGTATCTTTTTATTCTTGATGAATGTATTTTATTCTCCTTATGTACACTGAGAGCATATACACCAAAGGCAAATTCCTTGTTTGTCCAATCACACTTGGTCAATAAAGAATTCTATTCTATAAAGAATTCTATTATTCATGCCTTCCCTTAAGACAGGGGTTAAGGTGCTGTGGCTCCGTCAGGTGATCCCAACACTGGCTGGCCCCGCCCCTCGCTCTCCCCTCCCAGTCACTTCTCGCCTGGCCTGACAAGGTAAGGGCAATGGCGGGGGATGGATAAGCGGCCAGGGCAGAGACAGGGAAATACAGAGAGAGGGGGAGGGAGGGGGGAGAGAGGGAGGGAGGGAAGAGAGAGAGATGTCAAAAGGATTTTGTGGTTCCCAGTGTTTTTTAACAACTGGTTCTCTGCCCTAATGACCAGCTGGGTAGGCGGGGCTGGGGGGGTCATGTGACTGGTGGAAGTGAGTGACATCGATTTGGCCACACCCATCCAGGTTTTGTGGCTCCCAGTGTTTTCTTTTCTGTGGGAAACGGGTCCAAATTGCTCTTTGAGTATTTAAGGTTGCAGACCCCTGCCTTAAGAGATGATAAAAATAAATGTGTACAAGAACGGCTACAGAATGCAGCGAAATCTTTTCTAAGGTGAGCTCCAGTCCCTGATAATGTATCCTTCTACAGGGAGTCCTTGATTAGCAGCAGTTCATTTAATGACGGTCCCAAGTTACCACCGAAAAAAGGGACTTACAGCTGCTTTTCAGTTACGACCTTCGCTGTGTCCCCGTGATCATGTGATTCAAATTCAGACGCTTGGCAACTGGCTCATATTTATGACAGTTGCTGTGTCCCAAGGTCGCGTGATCCCCTTCTTGACCAGCCAAGACAAGAGGGAAGCCAGATTCACTTAACAACTGGGAAGTGATCCACTTAACAATCGTGGCAAGAAAGGTCAACGTTACAATGGGGCAAAATTTACTAAACAAATGTCTCCCTTTGCTCCATTGTGGTCATTAGGTGGAGGACTGCCTGTGGTTTCCTTGGCAACAGTCTAGACAAGTGTCTCTCAACCTTGATGGCTTTAAGATGAGTGGACTCACCTTCCATGCTGGCTATGGAATTATGGGAGTTGAAGTCCACGTATCTTGAAGCTGCCGAGGTTGAGAAACACTGTGTCAAACCCCCGTACGTTGGTTTACCCGAGAGGAAAGGATAACTCGGATGCCGGGTCTTGGGTGCATGAATTCTTTAATCCAGTCAGGTCACAACGATAGCGGTAGGTGACATCAATGCGCTATGCACAAAGTCGGCGTTGGGAGCGGCTGCCTCCCAACGCCTTTTAAACTATCGCGCCGGTAAAGTACACACCCTTCCGGGTCGGGCGGCCACAACGCATGCGCCATGGCTCCGCAGGAGCAGAGGGCGCAAAGAATCATCCCTATCCCGGCCGCAGGATGACCGGCTGCCTGAGTGCCTGGAGCCAACACCCCCCTTCACCACTGTGAATATGCGTTGCCGCCGACCCCACCCCGGTCTTTGCCGCCGACTAGCTAATGAGCCCAGGCTGCGATTCCAAGAGGTGGAGATCGGGATCGCTGCTACTCGGTGAGGTGTCGAGGGGCTCTTGACACACTGACCTAGAAGGTGCTTGCCGCTGCCTCATTTCTCCAAAATGATTTTTGATTTTTCAGTCTTAGCTGAGAGCCCTCAAATGTCTGACAGCCTCGGTTCCAAATCCTAATCAGGCCTGACCTTCCTTAGTTTTTTAAAGTCACCCAGCCAAGCATGAAGGGAGACCACATTTGAAAATGGAAAAAAGAAAGAAAGAGGAATGACCCAGTTCATTAACCACCTGATCTAAGGAATGAACCTATAATCAAGATTTACAAACTCTTTAACAGCGTAGCAGATCAAGGCATTCTTTTTTTTCTCTAAGATCATTTTTTATGTGTATTTTTATGGACTAGATATGATTCTAGGGCTTTTCATGCAGCTCGTGAGCTTGCATTATAGGTATTTCATCTGTCAGTTAAAATACATCTTTAATGTATTTGAACACCAGTGATATCGCTTATCTGGGGATGTCATCTGCTTGTTGTTCCCCATCTAAATATCTATTGGCAAGGTGTCCAAACTATTGCCCTTCTGCCACTAGGGCAGCTGTCAGCAACCCGTTATTATTTCTAGTGCTGCATTTTGCTTTGTGTTTCTCCCTCTTTTAAACTTCTCAAAGTTCCCTTCATTTGGAGCAATATCTAAGTCCTACAAATATATAAACAAACAAGCAAGCCATTTTTATAATTTCTTGCAAATGGCAATGCAGAATTTTCATTTCATTTGACAGAACTAGTTAGAAGTTAGAATCAGAGCAACCCCTTGCCTCCAGAGGTGGTGGGTGCTCCATCACTGGAGGTCTTTAAGCAGAGACTGGACAGACACTTGTCTGGAATGGTATAGGGTCCCCTGCTTGAGCAGGCGGTTGGACTAGAAGACCTTCGAAGTCCCTTCCAGCTCTATTCTGATTGGAAGTCCTACACAGTGTCTCCTCCCGCATTTGTAAGTTGTGACGTTAGCTCTTACCCCAGAAAGTTACTCCGCAGTGCATGTGTTGTGGCGTATACTTAAGCAGTCTGTGACGACCGTTGTGGTCTTCTATGTAATACACAGGAATTGTCTGGAACCGCCTCCAGCCTAGAGACAGAATCAGTGGATCACGGGTTTTAAGGATCTTCTTGTACCAGCGATGCTTCTTCAACCGCATCTAAAAAAAACCCCAAAGAATAATTTCATTTCGGAAGCCATTTCAACAACCCTCCCTCCTCTTTGTTGAGAACAAAGTTTTCAGTTGCATAATATTAAAGTATGGAAGACCCAGGGGGCCCTGATTCAAATTAATGTGTTGGAATATGTGTGTGATTGAGCTTTCAAAATCCCCAGGAAATAGACAGCAATTTAACAATAATGCATAGAAGGTCAAGAGGAAATAAAAACACATGTATAGAAAATATAAATATAAATGTATGTACAGTATGTATGTAAGTACAGTATGTATGTATGTGTACACACCTTCAGACGAGAGCTACATTCAGGAGCATATGAGAATCTCTACCTGTCACAGAAGGGAGCGTGATGGCCCAGGGGTTAAGAATGCTGAGCTTGTCAGATGGAAAGCTGACAGCCCAGGTTCGAGACCCAAGCATCATGTGACAGGGTGAGCTCCCATTCCTTGCCTCAGCTCCTGCCCAGCTAGCAATTCGAAAGCATGCAAGTGTGAGTAGATAAATAGTACCACTTCGGTGGGAAGGCGCCGTGAGCCTCAATGTATGGTCATGCTGACCACATGAACGCAATAGCAATAGCACTTAGACTTATATACTGCTTCATAGTAATTCACAGGTGTCTCTAAGCAGTTTACAGAGTCAGCCTATTGCACCCAGCAATCTGGGTCCTTATTTTAGCCACCTCGGAAGGATGGAAGGCTGAGTCAACCTTCAGCTGGTCAGGTTCAAAGTCCTGGCAGTGGGCAGAGTTTGCTTGCAAGACTGCATTCTAAGCACTGTGCCATCACATGACCACGAAAGCGTTTTCAGACAACACTGGCTCCCTCGGTTAGGAAACGGAGATGAGCACCGCCCCCAAGAGTCGGACACGAGGGACAGGGAAATTTTTTGCCTTATTTTATCTATCATGGTTAAGAAGCATGCAAGAACATAACATACCTGCACATAGCCCACGTTTCCTTCTGTGTTTCCCAGGCCGCCCAGGACAATTGGATAACATGGATCAAAATGCAGCACCAGTTCACACGGGACGTTCTCCAGTTCTATCCGGATATACATCCCTGGTCGAAATCCCTCGTACTGAATTCGGGTTTCATCATCTTGATCTTCAAACTCAAGTCTGTTAATCTGCATTGCGAATATAAGAAGGAACGCAATGCTTTATCGCAATGAGATCCATCAACACAATTCCACAGCTGATCTTTGGTTCGAGCAGAGCCAATTCTGCTGACTTACGAAACGAGAAGCTGCGCTTCCACAATATGCTAAGTTCTGGTTTATGGTTCGCCTTGTTAAAGTTGTGTGTACCTCTCTGTGTTTTTTTACTGTACCGTTTGGTTACCTTGCGAACCAACGCTTCATGACAATCCAGACGTTAATGACATACAATTTATATGTTTATGTCAATCATATTTTCTTTATCTGATGGCACAGGAGAATGGATGTGTCTTAGTCACAGCACATCCTTGCACTTTTCACTGAGGAATTATGGAGAAGACAGAGTCAGCCCTTCCAGGTAGGCCAGGTCAAGAAACAGAGTCCACAAGAATTATTGGAATTCAATTTACATGTTAGAATAACCCTTCCCTTCCCCTTCCCTTCCTTCCTAGAAGAGTATGACTAGCCCAAGGTCAACCTAAGCAATAGCAATAGCACTTAAGACTTATATACCGCTTTACAGTCCTCTCTAAGTGGTTTACAGAGTCAGCCTCTTGCCCCCAACAATCTGGGTCCTCATTTTACCCACCTCGGAAGGATGGAAGGCTGAGTCAACCTTGAGCTGGTGAGATTTGAACTGCAGCTAGCAGTCAACTGAAGTAGCCTGCAGTACTGCACTCTATCAGACTACAACTCCCAATCTCCCAGTTTCTAGGCTGGTGCCTTAACCGCTATACCAAACTGGCCCTCAATTAATAATGTTTCACACCAGTGGCTCTCAACCGTTTCTTCACCAAGGAACTGCTTTAAATGCCTTTTGTGGCCACAGATCCCCCCACCCCACCTCCAAGACTTAACTCAAGTTTTAAATTATAACATTTCTTCAAGACTTTGCAGACCCCTTATGATGACATTACAGTCCCTGCAGGGGTCCGGGAACCACATGTTGAGAGACACTGCATTAAGCTATAATATAGAGCCATGGTTAGAACACAATATTGCTGGCAAACTCTGCCTCACAGTCAGGAGTTCAAACCTGACTGGCTCAAGATTGATTCAGCCTTCCATCCTTTCTGAAGTCAGTAAAACGAGGACCCAGATTGTTGGGGGCAATAGGCTGACTCTGTAAACTGCTTAGAGAGGGCCGTGAAGCAGTATAATTCTAAGAGCTATTGCTATTGACTCAGCCTTCCATCTTTCCAAGGTCAGTAAAATGAGGACCCAGTTTGTTGGGGGCAAGAGGCTGACTCTGTAAACTGCTTAGAGGGGGCCGTAAATAGCAATAGCACTTATTTATGTATTTATTTATTTATTTTATTCAATTTGTATACCGCCCTTCTCCTAGTGGACTCAGGGCGGTGCCAGAACTAAAACACATAACAATACAAAATTTAAAATTATTAAAAGAATTTTATACTTTGGCCCAAATTTAAAACAATTCGAATTAAAACCCATTGACAGATTAAAAGCTAAACAACTAAAAAACTAAAAAAAAAAAAAGGGGGGGGGGTCATGCCAGCCCTGCTTGATGGGAAAAAAAAGTTTTCAGGGCACGGCGAAAGACCTGGAGATCCGATATCCTTCTTATCTCCGGGGGCAAATCGTTCCAGAGGGCGGGAGCTGCCACAGAGAAGGCCCTCCCCCTGGGGGTCGCCAGCCGACATTGCCTGGCTGACGGCACCCTGAACAGTCCCTCTCTGTGGGAGTGTACTGGTCAGTGGGAGGCTATCGGCGGCAGAAGGTGGTCCCGCAAATACCCAGGTCCTATGCCATGGAGTGCTTTAAAGGTGGTAACCAACACCTTGAAGCGCACCCGGAAGACCACTGGAAGCCAATACAGGTCACGCAGGACTTATATCCTTCTTCACAGAGCTTTACAGGCCTTTCTAAACTCGGAAAGATGAAAGGCTGAGTCAACCTTGAGCCTGGTGAGATTTGAACTGCCAAATTGCAGTCAGCCGGCAGTCAGCAGAAGTAGCCTGCAGTACTAACTAGTAGAAACAGAAGTTAGAAATTTGGAAGCATAAGAGAATGATTAATTACATAAGGGAGGTTTATTAAAATGGATAAACAAATATTATTATGTGATCAATATTAATGCTATGAATATTGTTTATATAAAAATGGATTTTTTTATATTAAATACTTTTTTAAAACATGCAAAAAAAAAAAAAAAAGAAGTAGCCTCTAGTACTGCACTCTAACCACTGGGCCACCACAGCTCAAAGCACTGTGAAGTGGTATATAAGTCTAAGTGCTACTGCTATAATAAACCTGACAGCATTTCTGTCCCTTCCTCCTTCATTTGCACCAAAGACAGTCAAGATAGAGCCATAGCACATTTCTATCTCACATAGTTTGACTTAATTCCCGCTTTGCTAGAGGATTTGCGCTCCTTTTTCAAAGTTAACTCTGCAAGATCGGAAGAACAAACATTGTCGGGCCATTCGGAATCCCTCAACCAAGTCAAAGAGTCTACCTGAGCCTGCTTTTGAAATTCGTCTTTCAGATCATCAAAATAGGTGGCGTTCCCGTCATATTCGGCATTGAACATCTCTTTCAGTTTACGTTTCTTCGCGATACGCTTCTTCTGCTCCTCTTCCTCCGCATCCGCTTCGGGGTTCTTTCCCTCGTTGTCCTCTTCCTCTTCGTTTGCCACCTAACGGCACGGAGAAAATAACAACAACAACAACAACAACAACAATTATAATATAACAGTGATACCTATTGTCATCGGGGCACTTGGTACCATGTCCAAGAATTTTACAAAACACATCAAGAAATTGCAGCTTTCTGCTATAACACCAGCGGAACTGCGAAAAACTGTGCTACTCGGAACATTGTACAACTTAAGAAGGTACTTGGTTGATACCTAGGACGCTGGCAGTCTATCAACTGTATCAGCCGTATCAACCATTAGCACCAGTCAATTGTATTTGTGACACATTTTTAAATGATCAGTTGACCGAGTTTCATGTTTAATGAATAAAAGAAATAATAATAATAATTAACATAAAGTGGAAAAAGTTGTCGAAAATGAGAAGGTGAAGACCTTGTGGGGCTTTCAAATACAGACAGATCAACATTTGGAACACAAGACGCCAGATATCACAGTTGTCAAAAAACCGAAGCGTACAATTTATTGATATCGCTGTACCAGGAGACTCCAGAGTCGAAGAAAAAGAACTGGAAAAAAATCACGAAATATCACAACTTGGCCATCGAAATGACGTGATTATGGATGAAACATGTAACAGTGATACCCATTGTCATCGGGGCACTTGGTACCATGTCCATGAATTTTATAAAATACATCAAGAAATTGCAGCTTCCTGCAATAACACCAGCGGAACTGCAAAAAACTGCGCTACTCGGAACATCGTACATTTTAAGAAGATACTTGGAGGATATCTAGGATGCTGGAAGCAACCCGTATCAATCATCAGTGCCAGTCAATAATATTTGTGATACATTTTTAAATGTTCAGTTGACTGAGTTTCATGTTTAATTAATAAAAGATATAATAATAATAGTACAAGCTTCTAATTCCCCCCCACCCCCATGAAATCTGCAACACAGAAGTTAAAAAGGAAAATCCTTGTCAAGATGCCCCTTTTTTCTACGCTCAGTTGACAAGTTGGAATCCAGCATAGAACAAAACCATCTAATCACATCGGACAGTGACTCAAAGTTAAATACAGGCAGTCCTCGACATACGACCACAACGGAGCCCAAAATTTCCATTGCTAAGCGAGACAGTTGCTAAGTGAATTTTACCCCATGTTACAGTCTTTCTTGCCACGGTTCTTCAGTGAATCACTGCAGAAATTGCATTGACTGCCTTGACTTGGCTCGTCAGAAGGTCGCCTAAGGGCATCACGTCAACCTGGGATACCGCAACCGTCATAAATATGAGTCAGTTACCGACGTTCTGAATTCTGATCATGCGATTGTGGAGTTGCTGCCAAAGTCATTAAGCGTGAACACCGGACATAAGTCACTTTTTGGGGACCTTTAAAGGGTAACTAAATTACCCCGTTATAAGTCCAGGACTGCCTGTGTTTAATTTCAAATGTTTTATACTTTTTCAGAGCTTGAGTGTTGTTCAGGGAGAGAGATTTTAATTATTACTTAAGAAGTGATTGGACAACCATTTGTCTGAAATGGTATAGGGTTTCCTGCCTAAACAGGGGGTTGGACTAGAAGACCTCCAAGGTCCCTTCCCACTCTGTTATTCTATATTTTATCACACAGTATCTATCAGTTAAATCAGACATAGATAATCAGACCATCTCAAACCTCGTCTCCTGGATCAGCTGATTTGCCTTTATACATAGTTCCTGTCTCGAGATCTTCGAAATCGCCGTATATTTCCTCTGGAAAAAATAAAAAGCAGAGAACCATCGTTCATCTTTCCGAGGTCGATACAGGTAGTCCTCGACATACGACCGCAACTGAGCCCCAGATTCCTGCTACAGTAAATGAGACGTTCGTTAAAGAGAGTTTTTCCTCCAATTTCACCCACCTTTCTTGCCAGGGTTGTTAAGTGAATCGCTGCAGCGGTTAAGTTAGTCACACGGTTGTTAAGTGAATCTGGCTCCCCCGTTCACTTTGCTTGTCAGACAGTCTCAAAAGGGAATCACATGACTCCAGGACACTGCGACCATCATAAATGTGAGTCAGTTAGCGTCTGAATTGTGATCACGTGACCACGGGAATGCCGCAACAGTCATAAGTGTGAAGTGGCCATAAGTCACTTCTTTCAGTGACGTTGAACGGTCACTAAACGAACTGTTGCAAGTCCAGGGCTGCCTGTATTTTTGCTAAGTCTCCTGGCCATCGGACCCATCAATACCCTGGGGATCAGGCATGCTTTATTCAAAATTATCAACTCCTAATGATGCCCTCATCCGGTCCTCCTCAGACATTCATGAATGCCCACTTTATTGACCGAAAGGGTGAGTTAGTCCTTGAGTTATGACCATAACTGAGCCTGGTCATTATGGTTGTTGAGTCTTCGTGGTTCTAAAGAGGGTCGCCATATGAACGGACTTGATCTTATAACCTTTTAAATGCTGGCTTCTAGCAAACCATCATAAACCGCAGTCACATAACTATGAGGCATTGGGCCGGTATCAAAACTGGATTTTAAGTAGCTGTTGGGAGGGTGGGGCTCCATCATTATGTCAAATAGTTGCTAAGCAACCGGTCATAAGTAAAGGACTACCTTGTATGAAGAAACAATACTTTTTTCCCCCCAGGTTACTTCCAAGAAAATAATTAGGGAAGGACACTCTCTAATTTACCATCTTCCTTCAACAATTTTTCTGCATCTTTGTCCACTTCCCACTTTCCGGTCACGAAACAGTCCCGGATGCTGTCCATCACCTGCAAAATAGAATAGAATAAAATAACAGAGTCGGAAGAGACCTTGGAGGTCTTCTAGTCCAACCCCCGGCCCAGCAGATCCTACACCATTTCTGACAGATGGCAGTCAAGTCTCTTCTTGAAAGCTTCCAGTGATGAAGCTCCCACAACTTCTGAAGGAAACTTCTGTTCCATTGGTTATTGTTCTCACTGTCAGAAAGTTTCCAGGTTGAATCTCTCCTTGTTCAGTTTCCATCCGTTAGTCCTTGTCTGGCCTTCAGGTGCTTTAGAAAATAGCTTGACCCCTTCCTCTCTGTGGCAGCCCCTCAAATATTGGAACACAGCTATTATGTCTCCCCTGGTCCTTCTCTTCACTAGACTAGCCATGCCCAGTTCCTACTGTTCTTCGTATGCTTTCGCCTCCAGTCCCCTAATCATCCTGGTTGCTCTTCTCTGCACTCTTTCTAAAGTCTCAATAAACGTGTCTGTTTTACAGATTCACAGCAATTGACAATCCTTTTTCCAGATTAGTCCATCATCCAACAAATCTGAAGAAGCCGTACCTCGTCCGAGTCCCAGTCCTGAGGGGCTTCTGTGGGAAATTTGGAGCAATCCAGAGCATCAATCTTTCGTTTCGATTCTTTGTCGGGACGGCTGACGCGAAACAACCCGCCGAGTTCCACATCTCGTTCTCCTTCCTCCTCCTCAACATCCTCGGCCACTGAGGAAGAATCAAGGCAGCATTTGGGCTACAATTAAAAGTTTTCGCGGATGCAGTAGAGGTAGTCCTCAACTTCCAATCATTCAATTAATGACTGTTCGAAGTTGTGACGGGATTGAAAAAAGTGGCTTGCATCTAGTCCTCGCGCTTATGGACATCACTGCACCCACGCAGTGATATCAAAACAGGCAACAGGCTTGTGTTTACGTTTTGGCTGCATGCTGTGGTAGATAATTTTTTTTTTTTTTAATTTGATTTATATGCCGCCCTTCTCCGGAGACTCAGGGCGGCTTGCAGTGCGTTAAGCAATAGCCTTCATACTTTTGTATATTTTATTCAAAGTCAGCTTATTGCCCCCACAAACTGGGTCCTCAATTTACCTACCTTAGAAAGGATGGAAGGCTGAGTCAACCTTGAGCCTGCTAAGATTCGAACTTACTTTAATTGCAAACAGCTGGTGTTAAATTACAGTGCCTTGTCTGAAGAGCTATCCAGGCTCCTGAATTGAATTGTCGAGGTTTACCATTTTAAATTCCCTAAACTTCCCAAAAGACACTCCCCCCCCCAAGCTGGTATATTGAAAATAATTAACTATTGTCTCAAAGTCCTCCATTGTCAATTCCACATTTACTCTCTTTCCACTGACTGCGTTTCTGCCTGCATTTCGACCAAAAATGCAAGTGCCTTTAAGACCCCTGCCAAACTAAAACAAACTCAAAAGGCACTCCCCTGGTTAGGAATTGCAATTAAGAATCCAAATAGAAAAGTTCTTACAATGCAGGGGAAATGTTGGCTTTTTCCTTGCTTGCTTTCATCGTACTAATGGTTGACTGATGATGACAATCTCACTAAACTTTGAACCTATACATTTGCCTAAGGTCCTTCCTTCCCTCCTTCCTTCTCCCTTCCTTCCTTCCTTCCTTCCCTCCTCCCCCCTTCCTTCTTTATCTGCCTTCCTTCCTCTCTTGACCTTCCTCGACCTCCCTCTGTTCCGTCTTCCCTCCGTCCCTCCCTTCCTCTCCCCCTCCCTTGACCTTCCTTTGTTCCTTCCTCCTCCTTCCCTCCCTTCCTTGAACTTCCTTTGTTAACCAACCTTCTTTCTCCCTCCCTCCCTCCTTTGACTTTCCTCCCTTCCTTCCACGACCTCTGTCCAGGGGTGAAATTCAGCAGGTTCTAACAGGTTCTGGAGAACTGGTAGCGGAAATTTTGAGCAGTTTGGAGAACCGGCAAATACCACCTCTGGCTGGCCCCAGAGTGGGGTGGGAATGGAGATTTTGCAATATCTTTTCCCCAGGAGTGGGATAGGAATGAAGATTTTGCAGTATCTTTCCCCTGCCACGCCCACCAAGCCACGCCCACAGAACCGGTAGTAAAAAAAAATTCAATTTCACCATTGCCTCCCTCCCTCCTTCCTTTCTTTTCTTCCTTCGTCCCTCGCCTCCTTCCTCTCTAATACAGGCAGGGCAATATATTTTTACCTGACCCATAAACGAGTTTGCGGAGATTCGGAGCAGCCTGTTGCTGCCTCAAAAAAGTTTCGGCTGCCTTCTGGGTGAGGTCTTCTTTCCATTTCAGAGCCCCTAAAAGGAAGGAGAAAAAAAATAAGATTGTTCCTTTATCTAAATCAGATTAAACAGCCAATGATTTTCCCTATTTCTTTTAATGCCACTTACATAAATACATGGCCCAGGCATAACAACTTCACTGGTTGAATGTTTATGCATGCACGTCTCCTTAATTTGAGCTGCACAGCAAATGTGTGCAGCTATTCAGAGGTCCCACTGGACTTAACACCAAAGTAACTGTGCACAGGATCTCGACCTCACTTTCCTTGCTAGAAAAGGCTAAGGTAACTATTGAAACTATATTAAAATTATAGATTAAAATTATTGAAAGTAATGGGGTGAGCTTCCGTTACTTGTCCCAGCTTCTGCCCCCCTAGCAGTTCGAAAGCACATAAAAAATGCAAGTAGAAAAATAGGGACCACCTTTGGTGGGAAGGTAACAGTGTTCCGTGCGCCTTTGGCGTTTAGTCATGCCGGCCACATGACCACGGAGACGTCTTCAGACAGCACTGGCTCTTCGGCTTTGAAACGGAGATAAGCATCACCCCCTAAAGTCGGGAACAACTAGCACATATGTGCAAGGGGAACCTTTTACCTTTAACTACTGAAAAATATAAAATATCTGCCAACTGACGTGCAACTGAAAAATGTTTTTGTGAGTGTTTGAAACAATTGACCGGTGGACGAAACAGGTAAGATGCTTGGGTAAATGCCATCAAAAAGAAATGAATCATCGCCATAAAAACATTGTGACCAACATTTTGAGAGATTCAGAAGTACGTACCAATTGTTTCTGAAGAAAAATCCAACGCCTCTTTATAGTCTTCGTCCTCTTTCAAGAGATCTTCCACGTCATCTTCGTTCTTCATCGACCCAGAATCTTGTATCTTAACATCAGCACTTTGTAGTTGAGACTCTTTCTGGCTCGACCCTTTGAGGTCGTCATCGGCATCCTCCTCCTCCTCCTCCTCCTCCTCCTCCTCCTCTGAGGGGCTTTCTGAAGATAAAGGTCCATCTAAATCTGGCATTGGTGCCTCTTCAGCAGTCATTTTTTCAATCAATGTGATACGGGCTACTTTTTTAACTAACTTTTTTCTGTTCCTCACCTTGTGGTCCGTTTCGCACGATAAAGGTTTATTCAATCGAGCTGGGTTTCTGGCGGTAGATTGGGAAGGTGTCGCCTCCTCTTCCTCTTCACTTTCGTCCATCTCTTTGAAGTCGTCTTCTTCTTCCTCTTCTGAACTCACCTCAAGATCATCATCACTGTCAGCAAAGGCTGGCCGCTCCGTTAGGAGTGCAGACTCAGTTTCATTTCTGCTTCGCTCAGAAACCAGATACTGGTGTAGAAAAGTGTCATCTTCTCCTTCCTCATTACTATCACTCTCCCCTATGTCCTCCTCCACAGACATCCCCTCTTCTTCCTCCTCCTCCTCTTCTTCCTCCTCATCATCACTTTGGTCTTCATTTTCAAAGACTGCCTTCCGGCGTGTCCTCCCAGTTCGCGGGTCTGTTTCCTTTTCTTCTTTAGGCATGGCAAAAACGCTGAAAATTAAAAATCTGTTTCAGGCATCTAGCAAAGCTTCGTGAACCTCTCAAGAATAAAGTCAGCATAAAGTCCTTGACAATACAGGCAATCCTCAACTTACAGCCGTTCGTTTAGTGACCGCCCGAAGTTACAATGGCACTGAAAAAAGTGACTTAGGACCGTTGCGGCATCTCCCACGGTCACGTGATCGAAACTCAAGAGGCGTGGCAACGGATTCATATTTATGACAGTCGCAGTGTCCCGGGGGTCACGTGATCCCCTTTTGCGAACCTTCTGACAGGCAAAATCAATGGGGAAAGATGGATTTGCTTAACCACCTTGTTACTGATTTAACAACTGCAGGGACTCACTTAGCAACCGTGGCGAGAAAAGTCATAGAACGGGGGAGACCCTCACTTCACAAACGTCTCACTTAGCCACTGAAATGTCGGGCTCAACTGTGGTTGTACACCAAGGACCACCTGTATTTTAATTCACCCTAGATAAATTCCACACTTTATTTCCCTCCTTATTACAGTCAGCGTTACTATTGTGCTTCCTGTATTGAGAGTGTCCACAAATGCAGTTTAGGGCAAATAATGGGCGTTTTCAAAATAAATAAATTCACCCCTCTCCCTTACAACATTGTAGGGGTACTTATGCATTCAAAAGAGAGTTATTAATTCTTGCAGGTTACTCATCCTCCCTTCTTTTGTATTGTATTGTATTGGTGGTTTGGAAATTCATGACCAGCATAATGTCATAAGTTCATCTTAGATCCTTTATCCTCTGTGCATCTTTTCCCTATATCTCTTCTATACCATGCAGCAGAGTTCAATCAATCAGAATAGAGCTGGAATGGACCTTGGAGGTCTTCTAGTCCAACCCCCTGCTCAAGCAGGAGATCTTATACCCCTGATGGCGAACCTATGGCACACATGCCAGAGGTGGCATGCAGAGCCCTCTCTGTGGGCACGCGTGCCATCGCTCCAGCACAGACAAAATGCTGCTGGACACGCACCAAAACAAATGATGGGCAGACCATGGCTCTGATTGATGGGTGCGGTTTCGTTTCGCAAGTTGATAGACAGCTGGGGGCCTATTTGCGAATGGTCCCCGCTCCTTTCCTTCTCTTTCGAAAAACCCTCCCTGGCCTTTCACTTTTTCCACCCCCGATTCCCTCTGATAATTGTCATTTACTTGCCTTCTTTCAAAAATTACACAGATACACAAGCAAATAACCTGTGCACTGATGAGACCTAATTGCAAAGAATGGGTGTATGCATGTAAGACTAGAGGGATCTTGTACACAGCTCTCTATCTCTGCAGAAATAATGGATACCTTGCTGCCCACCTCCTCGCCCACTGCTTGGTTCCCTTGGTGTGTTCTTTTCCTGTGGCAGGATTGTCTCGGATCATGTGCAGAGTGCCTTCACAGTTCAACACCCCACCCCCCAAAGGTTCAGACTAGGATTAGGCCTTTCAAATCAACCCCTGCAAATTTTTAGCCCTCAGCAGAGCAACAGAAAGGAGAGGGAGGGAAAGAGAGGGAGGGAAAAAGAGAGAGAGAAACAGAGAGACAGAGAGAGGGAGGGAAAGAGAGAAAGAGAGAGGGGAGAAAGAGAGACACACAAAGAGAGAAAGAGAGAGGGAGGGAAGGAAAGAGAGAGGGGGGAGAGGGAGGGAAAGAGAAATGATATTACAAAAGTTTTTCTTTTTTACTGTTGCTAAATGTAATATTTCAAAAACAAAAAAAAATGAAGGGGCATACAAGTGCATCGATCACATTTTTCTTAGGACAATTAGCTGAACTCTGCCTTGTTTATCATTATTTTAGGTAAACCTCAGTATTCAAGTTAAATTGCCGTGTTGGCACTTTGCGATATATAAGTGGGTTTTGGGTTGCAGTTTGGGCACTCGGTCTCTAAAATGTTCGCCACCACTGCCCTATACCATTCCAGACAAATGCCTGTCTAGGCTCTTCTTGAAAACCTCCAGCGATGGAGCACCCACAAATTCTGGAGGCAACCTGTTCCACTGATTAACAGTTCTCACTGATGAAAAAGTTCCTACTTAATTTGTCTGTGGAGATTCTCAGTCATCCAGGTCATGGATGTCCCAAAGGTGCTTTTTCAAGAGGCAACTGGACTTTATGCTTTTTCTTTGAAGTTGTTCAGTCAGAGCTGGAAAAGCTTCTTGGATGTTGGGGCCAATAGGTTGACTCTGTAAACCGCTTAGAGGGGGGCTAAAAGCACTGTGAAGTGGTATATAAGTCTAAGAGCTATTGCTATTGACTCAACCTTCCATCCTTCTGAGGTCGGTAAAACGAGGACCCAGATTGTTGGGGGCAATGCGCTGACTCTGTAAACCGTCTCGAAGGACTGTAAAGCACTGTGAAGCGGTATATAAGTCTAAATGCTATTGCTACATTTGACAATTTTTCAATTTTCAATTCAGACTGCACCTGGAAGTCTAGTCCAACCCCCTATTCAAGCAGGAGACCCTATACTGTGGTGGGGCAGTGGTTAGAGTGCAGTACTGCAGGCTACTTCTGATCATCGGCTGCCAGCAGTTTGGCAGATCGAATCTCACCAGGCTCAAGGTTGACTCAACCTTCCATCCTTCCGAGGTGGGTAAAAATGAGGACCCAGATTGTTGGGGGCAAGAGGCTGATTCTGTAAACTGCTTAGAGAGGGCTGTAAAGCACTGTGAAGTCTAAGTACTATTGCTATACCATTTGAGATCCAGTCTCTTCTTAAAAACCTTCCAGTGATGACCCACTCATGACTTCTGAAGGACTGTGCGTGAACCTACTGCTTACCTCTCATTTTCAACATCCTCCGTATCTAAAGGCTTGGAGTCCATGAAGAGAGAGACTTTGCTGGAAGCCATCTTGGCATCGATGGTGGAATGTGCCGAGATGAGACTCTGGACGAGCTCGTGGTTCGGTCTTTCTTCCTCCTGACGAATGAATAACATTTCAGTCACCCTTTTCTAAGGTCTGTTTAGTTAAGGTATTTATCACAGCACTGTTTTAGCAGCCTCCCAATAATCACTGAATATTTCAGGGAGTGCAAAAAGCTGCTTAGAGGGACAAAGGTTAATGGCATTCCCGCTTTATTTAGTCTTCCATCCCAAGGTGGAACCAGACTTTTAAAGAATTAAAATAAAATTTCTTTTCAACCAATTGACAAAATTGTTATGGATTAGATTATAATTAGATTAGGTTATAGATTAGACAAAAACCACAAAGGCCAATCCAAACTTGAGAATCTCTGCTATTACCACCTTAGTTCAGAAAATAGGGGATTAGTTAAAGCCAATTTTTTTTCAACACAAAATGATGACAGCCATCAAGTAATCGAGCCCTTATGGCACAATGGTTAAAGTGCAATATTAGCAATAGCACTTAAGACTTATATACCGCTTCAACAGTGCTTTGCAGCCCTCTCTAAGTGGTTTACAGAATCAGCCTCTTGCCCCCAACAATCTGGGTCCTCATTTTACCCACCTCGGAAGGATGGAAGGCTGAGTCAACCTTGAGCCTGGTGAGATTTGAACTGTCAAATTGCAGTCAGTCGCCGGTCAGAAGTAGCCTGCAGTACTGCTCTCTAACCACTGCACTACCCTAACCCTCATTTTAGTGACCTCGGAAGGATGGAAAGCTGAGTCAACCTTGAGTCGGTCAGGATGAAATTTGTGGCAGTGGGCAGTCTGCCTGCAATACTGCATTCTAACCACTGCACTATCACAGCACAGTTTGCAGGCAAATTCTGACCACAGGCTGGAGTTCGATCCTGACGAGGCTCAGGGTTGACTCAGCCTTCCATCCTTCTAAGGTCAGTAAAATGAGGACCCAGATTGTTGGGGGCAATATGCAAATAATGCTTGACATTGTAAGCAACTCAGAGAGGGCTCTAAAGCACTATGCAGTGGCATATAAGCCAAAATGCTATTGCTAATTGCTGTCAGGTGCAAACAACCAGAGTGTCAATCGTCCAACTAATGGACCCAATAAAAGCAGGGACTTTTCAGGAACTTTAAAATCCCAAAAACAAAACTTTATTGAATTCGTCATTTCAGCACTGAAGAAAAGCAAAACCAACTCTAAGTTTTCCTGCATAGTTAAAGATGAGTTTCATCCCTCCCTCCCAGGGAACGGGATTCCCATTGTCCAATTGGGAATCAGCCTTTTGTTTCGATAACAGTCCACATCTTGGTCAACACCTGCAGAAGTGTCCTTGGCTCTCAGGGTTGAAGATTGTAGCCTCCGCATTCCAGCTCACCCTTCCCTCCCCACCTTAGTTCTTTGGCAAGTTGAAAAACAATAATAGTCACAGGAAGCTTAAGTGTTTTTCAATCTTGACACAGAGCCTCATGTGCAGAGTGCAAGCTAACTACTTTATTACCTTCTGCCTATAATACAGGAATCTTCCCAGCCTTGTCTTGGGAACAAATAGCTAAGACTCCAAGGTACTTAGGGGTGCTCAGTTCTTATCCTCTTGTGGTTAAGCACTGACTCCAGGCTTGATCCCACCTCCATAGCAGGCTGGAGTGCTTCCCAACAAATGCTTTAACAATTAACAGCAATTCATAAACAGAAAATTAAGTGCAAGCCTTAAGTCATACCTCTCTGCCCCGATGGGAGTGGCTTCCCCCAAGGTCAATATACACAGCATCTTTGTCGTATACCAAGCCCCCAACCCCCGAGAGCGGGGCGTAAATCAGTTTCTCCTTCTCATTTAAGCAGCGTTTCTTTTGATGCTCAGGAAGGGCGCAAGGATCTGGCAGGAAGCTGACATCGCTGACAGTGAAATCCCCGACACCTGAAGGGGAAGAGATCATACCAGCGTCAAAATGAGAAGGACCGAGATTACGACAACACAATCTTAAATGGATTCAAAGATGAAAGATCACGCGTTAGATTGATCACTGAAGCAAAGAAAGCTATATGACCTTTATTGCTGATCAAAAGGAGTTTAATTCTAACCCTTGCCTTCCTGCTACCAACATTTCTCTATCCTGCCTCACAATATAATCTGTTGAGATATATAACACACAGAGAGACTTATAAAACTGTTTTCCCGAAAATAAGACCCAATTGGAATATAAGCTCTAATGCGTCTTTTGGAGCAAAAATTAATATAAGACCTGGTCTTATTTTCAGGGAAACACGGATATTATTGTAATTTGCTTTGCATTTCATACGTGAATAACTGACATAGAAATCTAAAAATTGGAAAACAAATTTATTGATTTGTTTGAATAATTTGCCTGGCCGCCCATCTCATAATAGCGACACTGTTTCAGTGGTAAAAACTCTGCAACCATAAAACTAAACTGCCATCCTCTCTAACTTCAAGGAAATAAAACAGATTCCATTTAGAAAGAAATGTAAACATTTCTTTAGTTAAATTAAATATTTAGTACAACAGGCTTCCTGACATTGGTTTTAGGCAAGATACTTGCTAATAACCCCACAGTTAAGATCTTTTCATCTAGGGCTTCACCCACATCCAAAATGATACAGGAGGACTTTGGACCTTATCTGAGCGTTGGACAGCTCTATTTGTTCAAGCAGCCCAAATTTGTTCAGCCTTTCATGAAAGGCTCAAATGTTTTAAGGCCGTGATGGCGAGCTGTGGCACACGTGCCAGGGGTGGCACGCAGAGCCCTCTGTGTGTGCATGTGCGCTGTCGGCAGCCGAGCAGGTGGGGTGCTGGAGCACCTCAAAACAGCCCGAAAAAAACGGGTCATTTTTGGCCCGAAAAAGGCCCTGAAAACGGCTCCAGAAACGGCCAAAAAACAGGCATGCATCCCCAGCCAGCTGGTCTTCAGGTTTTAGGTGCTCTGGCATGAGCAAAGATCCGCTGGCCAGCGTGCATGCACATGCTGGAAACCTGAAGACCAGGCCAGCTGTTCAGGTTTCCAGCACTCCAGCGCATGCAGATGCACGGGCGTTCCGGTTTGGGCATTCGATGCCGAAAACGTTCGCCATCACTGCTTTAAGGAATCCACACATTAATGTTTATGCTGGTGTTTTCCAACTTCAGCAACTTTAAAGTGTATGGACTTGCTAAGTGGGGAATTCTGGGAGCTGAAGTTCACATACTTTAAAGCTGTTGAGGATAAAGGACACTGGTTTATGCAACTCTTAAAAGCAATGACATCTCTCGTTTTTTGCGTGAAAGGCTGGAAATAGTTGGGCTGCTTTAATGAAATGTTTGGCTCAAAGTCCTTCCTTCAAATCACTGTCAAACTTTCCTATTTTCCACCTTAACTAGGAACAGGGCAAGCCCCTTTTCAAAGCTTAAATCATTTTTAAGGACTCTTTGCGTTCTCCCCAGGCAGTGAGGAAGAAGCTCTTGGCATCTCTTAAAGGTACTTCACTGTCTTTTGTTGACAAAATATAAAGGAAAAAAAAACCCTTCCGATTCTATCCCACCTGCTATGTGTATTTGGCTTTTGTTTTTCAAGTGGGATCCTCTTAGATAACCATAAAGGGAAACTTTCCGGTCGCATTTTGGATTAACCCTGATCGCCTCTGGGTTTGTCAAATCTTCCATCCTGCAGATGTAAGAATATCAGGGTTAGAATGTTTAGAAGGAGATGGAAAACATTCTCTGTACTCTAAACTGGCACAATAGTTGTCATGTTGGTGAGAAGGGTGACATATAAGTAAATAACAACAACAATAATACATATCGTTCCTGATGGTTAGCTACCTGAAAGTTTGAAAACTTTGCTGTAGGACCTATCATTTAAAGTGAACTTTTCTTCCAGCTCATCCACGTTTGCCCAAATCCTCTCAAGTTGCTAGACCCTAGGATGGGAATCATTTTTAATCTATTTTCATGCTATTAGCAAAAGAGGGAGGAAGGCCAAGGAAGGAAGGTAAGAGGAAGATCAAGGAAGGAAAATCAAAGGAGGGAGGGACATCAAGAAAGCAAGAAAGGTCAAGAGAGTCAGGGAAGGTCAAGGAAGGAAGTTCAAGAAAGGGAGGGAGGGAGATCAAGGAAGAAAGAAAAGAAGGTCAAGGAAGGAGGAAGGAAGTTCAAGAAAGGGAGGGAGGAAGGGTCAAGGAAAGAAGGGAGGAAAAAAAAGTCCAGGAAGGTCAAGTGGAATAAAAGAAATTACCTGTCCACCAAGACGTAGGGATGAGTTGTCTGCCAAGTCAGGGGACGGAATTTCATCACGGAGATAAACCGCCCTAGATTGTGGATTTCCTGTTTTTGATAGTCTCCGTGCACCATCCCGGAGAGGTAGAACAATTTGGCACCCTAAATTTAATAATTAAATAAATTCATAGAACGCACGTATGCTTAAGTTGCAATTTAAGCAATTCACTTGCCTTTAACTGTTGTTTTTTTATCCAGAAATGCTATTTCTTTCTTTGAATGCAGGAATAGTTTAATTACCTTCTAAAACTTAGTTGGGTTAACATGAAAATTCGAAACTCAATGTAAACTGAGCAAATGGCAGGTAAACACGTACGCACACCATAGTATTGTCCCAAATAAAGAAAAGTCACATTGCTAGAAGGACATAGGCAAAAATTGATGCCAGTTTCGCAGGACATTTTATCCTATACAGGTAGCCCTGGTTTAGCGACTGACTCATTTAGTGACCGATCAGTGTTACAGTGATGAGGTTTAAATAACTTTCTGACCTACATTTCTATTTACAACTTTCGCAGGTCCATAAAGAAAGGAAAAATGAAGCTGGGTCAAAAGCACAGTCATGGTTTCACTTAGCAAATATCTTGCTTAATAACTGTCCCAATTGCGGTTGCTAAACAAGAAGGACCTGTTTATAATTTTTATCTTTGCTTCAGGGAACTAGACAGACGTAGTCCTCGACTTACAACAGTTCGTTTAGTGACTGTTCAAAATTGCGTCACTGAAAAATGTGACTTATGACCCCTTTTCACAGTGACAAACTTTGCAGCCTCCCCGTGGTCACGTGATCAAAATCCAGATACTTGGCCAGCTGTCTCACATTTATGACGGTTGCAGTGTCCCAGGGTCCTGTGATCCCCTTTTGTGACCTCCTGACAAACAAAGTCCACGGGGGAAGCCAGATTCAATAAACAACCGTGCGACTAACTAACTTAACAACCGCAGTGATTCACTTAACAACTCTGGCAAGAAAAGTTGTAAAAATGGGGCAAAACTCACTTAACAAATGTCTCACTTAGCAACATAAATTTTGGGGTCAATTCTGGTCGCAAGTCGAGGTCCTACCTATTTGTACTTGTAGGTCCTACCTATTTAACTCTCTTTTTTATTTTTTCATTGTTTTTATTTTTATTAAATGTAAAAAGAGCAAAAATTTCAATGTCTATATAAACAGTGTGTTGTCTGGGTATAATTAGTTTGAGCAATAATAATCACTATAATAATAGCATTCATAACATTAGTAATCATATAGTAACAATGATATCTCATCATAACATCTGCTAAAAAAACCTGGCTATCAAAAAAAAACCCCACCTCAGGATGGAGATTTATTTATTTCCCGCCTTTACTATATTTACAAATAACTTGAAGCAAGGAGCATATCTAACACACTTTCCTGCTCTTATTTCCCTACAACAACCACCCTGTGAGGTGGGTTGGGTGAGAAAGCATATCCAAGGTCATCCAGCTGGCTTTTATGGTTAAGGCGGGACTTGAACTCGCAGTCTCCTGCTTTCTAACCTGCTTCTAGTGGTTAAATCAAACTGAGCTGAAAACTAGTGAAAACAGGACCCGTCAATCTGTGGTTTTAAAATGGAATTATAAAGTTACAACAGCTCTTGGGTTGTTTTTTTCATTTTTGATACACTTTTCCCAGTCATTGAAGGAAAGTTGACACATGTCATACCTGATAGACCTCAGTCCAGAACCGATGCTTTAATCTCTTTTTGGTCTTCCTGAGCTGCTTGTTATTTTTGAAGCTGTCCAGGTGCGTAAGAACACCCATGATCTTGGGGAAGCCATGGACCTGGCAAATGTTCAGAAATTCAAAGGTTTCCATTTCAAATCCAAAACTGGCATCGATCAGCATCAAAGCCTGAGAAGGAAATTGAAAATAAATAAATATACTCTGGGGGGAAAAAAACCCGTTGCACTTTTTTTTTGTCTCACTAAAACATGCCAACTCTAAGTAAATACTGATAAAGCTCAACTTTCATGTGCTTATCTATTGAATGCATTGGTATAACTTAAATTATTTCCCTTTTCCCCCCTCCCATCTTTAATTTATTTTGCTTCGTGTACACCTTTTTTGAGGGCTTTGCGTAACGATGCTTACATTAAATTAGATTCCCTTTTTTCCCCTCACATTTTAATTACTTTTGCTTCCTATAGGATGTTTTTTGGTGCTTTGCATAACATTGCTTACACCAAAAAGGATCGGCACCGTAGATGTGTTCATAGAAGGGTAGGGACAAAATCTGTTCTTACTGTATCTCTTTTCTCCAAAAGGAAAAGTCACTTAGGTCTGGGGCGGGGTGAAATCCAGCAGGTTCTAACAGGTTCTGGAAAACTGGTAGTGGAAATTTTGAGTAGTTCGGAGAACTGGCAAATACCACCTCTGGCTGGCCCCAGAATGGGATGGGAATGGAGAATTTGCAATATCCTTCCCCCAGGGAGGGAGTGGAGATTTTGCAGAATCCTTCCCCTGGAGTGAGGTGGGAATTGAGATTTTGCAGTATCCTTCCCCTGCCACGCCCACCAAGACACACCCAAAGAACAGGTAGGGAAAAATTTTGGATTTCACCCCTGGTCTGGGGTCTCCAACCTTGGCAACGTTGCGACTCGTGGAATTCTTCAGCTGGCTGAGGGATTCTGGGAATTGATGTCCACAAAAGTTCCCAAGGTTGGAGACCCCGGACCTTAAGTAATGATCTCGCCTTACTCTTATCGGACCTTCCTAGTTATTAAAACCAATCATTATGTCCTGGCTTTCAACATATATCTCATTATTAATGAAATTATGTAACTAAAATAAACTGGTATTTATTATGGCAAATCAATTGTTCCAACTACTAGAAGAATGTGGAAAGAAACAAAGAAGAACATACAATTGGGGTTCACTCTTATGGACTAAAAAAAAACCTTAAACCCAATTAATTGAAAGGTGTCTTCCTAGGCCAAAATGTTAGGATGCAAACCAATTCTTAATGTATTTTACAACAAAACAGCCACACCTTTTAGACTTTAGAAAATGTCTAAAATCATATACAGGGAGTCCTTGACTTATGACCACAATTGAGCCCAAAATTTACATTACTGAGTGAGAAATTTGTTAATTTTGCTCCATTTTATAATTTTCCTTGTCCCATTTACTAAGTGAATCCCTGCAGTGCTTAAATTACTAAAATGGTTGTTAAGTAAATCTGGGTTCCCCATCCCCACTGACTTTGCTTCTCAGAAGGTCGCAAAAGTGGATCAGGTGATTCCGGGACACTGCAGCCGTCATAAACTTGAGTCAGCTATCAAGCACCCAAATGTAAACCATGTGACCATGGTGATGCTGCAGTGGTCATAAATGTGAAAAATGGTCGTGAGTCACTTTTTTCAGTGCCATTGTAACTTCGAACGGTCACTAAGCAAAGTATTGTAAAAGTCGAGGTCTACCTGTACTAATGTTAATCGATTTTTATCTTGAGGAAACCTATCTCTGTCTCATGATATACCAATAAAACTTACCAGATCGCAACTTTGGCAAGATCAAATCATCGCATTAATATCGCACCCACATTCAATGATGGTTAGCGGCGTTTTTTACCTGGCCGCCAAAGGCAAGAAACAAAACAAGGAAGATTGTTATAATTTTGTTCAAAAATACAAAGATTTTTTTTTAAAAAATTGCAATCTAACATTTTTTTTTAAAAACTGGTTATATGCGAGATGATATTGTTCTGACCTAGGCTTCCTGAGATAGTAAAAAGCACACGATTAGTCCCAAAAATTAGTCCCAAAAATTAATCTCTTTTTATTTCAATGGCTGTGACTTCTGTTCATTCACAGCCCATAATGAGTCACAAATAGTTTGTAGAGTCCGACAGAAGTCTGCCACAGTCCTTCGGGACAAGGCTGATAAGCACCCACTTTATCTCCCTTGACACGCTGCCAAAGAACTAACTGGCAATTAGCTTTGCAAGGCCACACTGAGCACAGAATCAAAACGGAGCTTCAGAATTTAAACCGACCAGAACGAAGAAAGTTGCTTCCTGCAAAGGCTCACATGCCTTTGTTACTCCTTTATGTCTTATGGGAGGGACCAATCATCTCCAAACCCTACTCCCGAGTTCCCTTATGTCTTAACTGTTCTTGCCTTCTGGCAGCTCTGCACATGCATGCACTGGGAACAGGCTCCTCCTGTTCCTCTGCCTCGCTGATATCCAACTCTGGAGGCTCCAGAGGCGGCACATAACTCCCAGATGGACCTGGTCCCTTCTCTGCCTCCAATGCAGAGCCCTCTGTCCGAGCCTTCCCAGACTCCAGGACTGACCCATGTTCCTCCCCAACCTCCTCACTGTGTGATTCTGCTGCCAGCTCTGCAGGCCGCCAGCGGCCACAATAGATATACCCAGATAAGCAAGCCAGTTAAAGAACTAGTTTGGCTAGTGGTTAAGGTACCAGGCTAGAAAGCTGGCAACCCTGAGTTCAAATCCCACCTTAGTCATAAAAGCCATAAAAATAAATCTCTCTCTCTCTCTCAGCCTAACTCACCTCACAGGATTGTTGTTGTGGGGAAAATAGGAGGAGGGGGTGTGTGTTACATATGTTGCCTTGAGTTATTTGTAAAAATAATAAAGACGGCAAAATAAAATATAACTGTAGAAAATGGAATAAATTCCATCACAGAAGGGTAGCCAAGTCGCTTATATGCCGTGTCCTGGATAGAGGGGAATGAACTGCCAATAATCTTTTCTGCTGTCCTCACCACTCTCTTCATCGCCTTCCTGTCTGAAGCAGTAATGCTTCCAAACCAGACAGTAATGCCATTGGACAGGATGCTCTCGATCGTCCCTCTATATAAAGTGGTAAGGACAGGGGGAGGAAGGAAGATGTTTTGGGGTCAGGTTTTCACCCGAAAACAACCTGCAGGCCTCTGGTCAGCACTGATCTTTCTTTCAGCGTCTAAAACTGAGAGCAGTGGTGGGTGAAAACTATAGAGGTCTTGTTGTTGTTGTTTTTTACCTGATACGATGGTCACAGGGCCTTGAATTTCAACCAATTTCTGCCTTGTGAAATTCTTAATGAGGCACCTTATCAAGGTGCTTTTCCCAACCTTGGGGGGGCCCACCACCACTACGACCACTGGAGGGGGTTCCAAGGGAGTGCGATCCACCACTGGAATATGATGCTTTTTGGTTTTCAAATCCTGGGTCCTGTTTTAAGGATAGGAATTGCAGTGAGTTAAAAAACAAAATCATGTGATCATGTCGACTACATTCAGGTGTAAGCACAGGTAGTCTTTGACTTATGGCCAAAACTGCCCGACATTTCCATTGCTCAGAGAGACAGTTATTAAAAGGGAGCTTCGCCTCGTTTTCAGACCTTCCTTGCCACAGTTGTTAAGTGAACCGCTGCAGTTGTTAAGTTAGTCACACGATTAAAGTGAACTTCTGGCTTCCCCATTGACTTTGCATGTGAGAAGGTCACAAAAGGGGATCACATGACCCTGGGGACACTGCGACCCGTCATAAATACAAGTCAGTTAACAAGCGGCCAAATTTTGATCACCTGACCATAGGGATTGCTGCAACGGTCATAGCTGTGCGAAAGTCCTAAGTCACTTTTTTTGGTGCCGTTGTCATTTCGAACGGTCACTAAATGGACGATTGTAAATCGAAGACTACCTGTAGTACGCCCTGGCTTATTACTAGGAGCAAGAGAGGGTTTCCAAACATTTTCATATGCAACTCCCACCATCTAATCCATGCAAAGAATATACTACATACTCTAACTGGAAAGTCAAATATTGAAAATACCGTATTTTTCGGCGTAAAAGATGCACCTACCTTTTTTGATGAGGAAAAGAAGAAAAAGAAATCGCCCTCTGCCTCTGAACAATTTTGCCTCGTTGGAGCAAACAGCAAACAGCCTGCTTTACTTTCATTTTCGTTTTCAGCATAGCTTGATTAGCACAAGGAAAAAAAAAATCTGCTCCAGCAATTTACCTCCTTGCAGCAAGCAGCAGAGGCCTGCGCAAAACAACTGAGAACAAATCAGCTGAGAGTCGGGAGGCCGATCCAATTAACTTGTGCTAATTAGGTTGTGCTGAAGCTGAAAGGAGCTGTTTTTTCTTGCTGTTTGCTTGCAAGGAGGTAACTGCTGAGAGGCAGAGGCCAAAGGGTGGGGGCCAATGGGTGGGCAGGGCTACATTCGGTGTATAAGACGCACCTACATTTTCACCCCCTTTTAGGGGGGAAAAAGGTGTGTTTTATACGCCGAAAAATACGGAATGGCTGATTCTATTTTACAATGATTTTATAAAGACAGTTAAAAGAGTCCATTCAAACAGTGAGTTTGGGGAGGAAAACTAAGGTTCTAGTTCTTATATTGCAAAGTTTCAGAAACAAGCTGTCATTCAGATGAATCTTATTCCAGAGAATACAGAAATGCAGAAACAAATAGTAAAAAGAAACATAACTGGATTTTTGTTCTGCTCAACAATTAGCTTTTCCTTAAACCCCATCCTTTAGCCAGGCAGAAGAGAAGTTCACTTCATCTAATAAGAAGCTTGGTCTTGCTCACATTCCCCCAAATTACATGATGTATCCTTGGGGCCCTGAACATTGCTATGGGGATGAGAGGGATACGTCTCAAACTTAAGAGAGCCTCCATTCTCTACAGAAAGCCTTCATCGGCTCAATTTAATTCATTTCTCTCATTGTGCTGTAAACTATAAACTTGCCTATGCTTTGCCCTAGACTGAGGATATGTATTTCTTTATATTCATTTGTATCCTCCTGCCTTTATTTTTACAAACAACCCGAACAGATCTTATTTGCTGTAATACAATTTGCCATCCCGCCCCATAGAAGACTCTCTGGAGCCAATAATGGCGGTAGGGTTAGCAGAGCAAATCTAGTCATAGAGAGACCTGTGGAAGGATCTGGCCATGCGGACTGCAGACTGGACCGCAAAGGCCTTGGGGTTTCTCTTCCTGGCATCCTCTTCATCTTCGATTCCTAAATCTTTCAAATGGCGCTTCTTTTTCTTGCCAGCCTTGGGACCGCTGTGTTTCTTGCGATGTTGTTTCTGGTTGCTCTCCTCCATCTTTCTCCCTTGGGTCCAGCAATCATGTGAGGCAAAAGACTTTCCTTTTCACCGAGGAACTGTAAAGTTAGGAAAAGAAAGTATTATATATGTGATACAGACTATCATTGAAGCAGTAGGCATGTCGTTGATACATAACAGCTTATAGAACTCTAAATCTCTTCTGTCTTTGTGGAAAAGATCTTTAATTCTGTAAATTTTATAAATCAACAGATGGCCCTACACCAACTTAAAAGATCAAAGCAGCAGAGAGTTTTATTCAAATGTTTTCCAAAGTCACCTCCCCAGTCATGCAATTTTACAAATTCAATGTAAATGAATTTGCACAGCCCCTGTGCAAACTCAGAAAAAAAAACAAGGAACATAAAGTAGCAACTTTTACTTTCATTTTTACAGTATCCTTTTCCAATTCAGCATCCTACACAGTTCCAATTTGCATGCTGGGGGTGAGGAGGGAAACAGCATTTCCAGAAAGAGGAAAGACATGCAAAGGGTGAGGTTTTTCTGCTGTATATCAAATTCCAATCTATCTATCTATCATCTATCTATCTATCTATCTATCTATCTATCTATCTATCTATCTATCTATCTATCATCTATCTATCTATCTATCTATCTATCTATCTATTGGATGTGTCCCCAAAACACCAAGGTTTTTTGGCTGTATATCACAACACACAAACAGACACCACACACACACACACACACACACACAGAGAGAGAGAGAGAGAGAGGGAGGGAGGGAGGGAGAGAGGGAGCACCCTACAGGCCAATTGCAAGATATTTATTTTTTCCCTGGTGAAAATATTCCTGTATTTAGAAACATTCAAAGACCGGAGATCAAAGGAATAAGGTGATGTTCAAAAGAAAATAGCAACAAAGTGGAACATGCCATATACATTATATAATAAATTCTGTATGGGGTCTGACTTTTGGTACATTCTGTACACAGAAATAAAACTATACATCAATTATACTGTATAAAATTGTAAACAAAATGATAGATGAGATAGATAGACAGACTAGAGACAGATAGAGATACAGTAGACAGACAGGACAGACAGACAGACAGATAGATAGATAAAAAAAGACAGACAGTGATAGAGAGATACAGTAGACAGACACAGATTAAATCGATCAATTGATCGATTGATTGATCGATAAAAACAGAGAGATAATAGAGACAGCAGACAGACACAGATTATAGCCAGACAGACAGATAAAAACAGAGATAGACAGATAATATTTAGAGACAGACACAGATTACATAGATACAGATACATAGGTAGGTAGGAGGTAGGTAGGTAAAAACAGAACAGACATAGAGCGATAATACAGTAGACAGACACAGATTACATAGATACGGACAGACAGATAGATAGATGATAGGTAGGTATGTAGATAAAAAGAGAGAGAGATTATAGATACAGTAGACAGACAGAGATTAGATAGACAGACAGACAGGGAGATGATAGATACAGATTAGAGACCGAGAGATGATAGAGTAGACACAGATAAGAGAGAGGGAGAGAGAGAGAGACCTAGATAAAGAGATAGATACTCTGTGCACAGCCAACCTGAGAGAGAGAGGCGGGCAAAGCCTGCTATTAACGCTCCTGGTATGGCCCATCTTGCGTTCCCCACAGCAGCACCGTCCTGTTTCCAGGGCTACCGTCGGGCCCAGCTCAAAGCCATTTCCGACAGCCGCCCCCCCCCCTTCCACCCCCGCGAAGCCCACGGACTTCTCAAGGCCCCCTCAAGGCTGCCAAATCTCGAGTCAGGCGAGTAAAAGCACGCGGGGCCCACTCCCAGGACCGCAGCCCCACCTCCGTCTCCCCGCCCTCCTCCCTCCCCATAAAAAGCCCAAACCTCGTTCAGACAACGCGCCGTCGACACGGGTTAAACTTACCCGGCACTCTGTCTCCCCGCATGGAACCTCGGCCGGAAATCTCTCGTTCGGTCCGATTCTTTAAAAGCGTCCCATCCGGAAACAGCGGCTCGTGTCTTTGCGTTCCGCGCTAGGGGGAAGATTATCTCGGTGACACCGGGCGCGCGTGGGGGGGGGGAACCATAGCAACCGCCGAACGCGAATTTAACCTCCCCTGATCGCTGGTAGCTTGCGCCCTGCAGCCCCCTCCTGGTTGGAGTCGATATTACAGACAAATCAGTTTAGAATAGAATAGAATAGAATAGAATAGAATAGAATAGAATAATAGAATAGAATAGAATAGAATAGAATAGAATAGAATAGAATAGAATAGAATAGAATAGAAAGTGGAGAGGAGAGGGGAGGAGAGGAGAATGTAGAGTAGAATAGAAGAGAATAGAATATAGAGTAGAAGAGAATAGAATGTAGAGTATAGAGTAGAGTAGAAGAAAATTAGACTAGACTAGACTAGACTAGACTGGAGAGGAGAGGAGAGGAGAATTAGACTGAACTGGACTGGACTGGACTGAGCGGAAAGGGACCTTGGAGGACTTCTAGTCCAGCCCTCTGCTCAAGCAGGAGAACTTCTACCATTTCAGATAAGTGACTGTCTAGTCTCTTCTTAAAAACATCCAGTGATGGAGCATCCATGTTTTCTGAAGGCAAGCTGTTCCACTGGTTAATTGTATTACTGTACAGGTATTCCTCAACTTAGGACCACAATTGAGCCCAAAATTTATGTTGCTAAGTAAGACATTTGCTAAGTGAATTTTGCCCCATTTTACAACTTTTATTGCCACATTTGTTAAGTGAAACACAGCAGTTGTTTATTTATTTATATTTATTTATTTGTTTCCATTTCTATACCGCCCTTCTCCAAATAGGACTCAGGGCGGTGAACAGCCAAAGTAAAAAACAGAACATACAAAATTTAAAAACAGTTTAAAATAATTAAATATTTTGGCCGTAAATTAAAACAATCCAATTTAAAATTTAACTCAAGCCAGCCCAGCTAGTTGAAATAAATAGTTTTTCAGGGCCCGATGAAAAATCCGGAGGTCTGTTATTGTACGTATCTCTGGGGGGAGGTTGTTCCAGAGGGTGGGTGCCGCCACAGAGAAGGCTCTCCCCCTGGGGGTCGCCAGCCGACATTGTCTGGCGGACGGCACCCTGAGGAGGCCCACTCTGCGAGTGTACTGGCCGGTGGGAGGCTATTGGTGGCAAAAGGCGGTCTCGTAAATACCCCGGCCCTAAGCCATGGAGCGCTTTAAAGGTGGTCACCAACACCTTGAAGCGCACCCGGAAGACCACCGGGAGCCAGTGCAGCTCGCGCAGGAGAGGTGTCACATGGGAGCGCCTCGTCGCCCCCATAATCCCCCGCGCGGCCGCGTTCTGGACCAGCTGGAGCCTCCGGGTGCACCCCAAGGGGAGCCCCATGTAGAGAGCGTTGCAGTAGTCCAGGCGGGAAGTGACGAGTGCCTGAGTGACTGTGCGTAGGGAGTCCCGATCTAGAAAGGGGCGCAACTGGCGTATCAGGCGAACCTGATAAAAAGCCCCCCTGGCCATGGCCGTCAAATGATCTTCTAAAGACAGCCGTGCGTCCAGGAGGACGCCTAAGTTACGAGCCCTCTCCGTGGGGGCGAGTGATTTGCCCCCAATAGCCAGCGATGGCATCATCTGGCTATATCGGGATGCCGGAAGCCACAGCCACTTGGTCATGGAGGGGTTGAGTCGGAGCCTGTTTCTCCCCATCCATTAGTAACACGGTTGTTAAGCGAATTGGGCTTCCCCGTGGACTTTGCTTGTCAGAAGGTCGCAAAAGGGGATCACGTGACCCCTGGCAGTCACTTCCAACCGTCATAAATGTGAGTCAGTTGTCAAGCATCCAAATTTTGATCAGATGACCACGGGAATACTGCAAAGGTCATAAGTGTGAAAAACAGTCATAAGTCACTTTTTTTTCAGCGCCATTATAACTTTGAACGGTCACTAAATGAACTGTTGTAAGTCGAGGACTATCTGTGGTCTGTGGTTTTTCAACCTGGAGCAACTTTGAGAAGGGTGGACTTCCACTGCCAGAAAACCTGAGGAATTCTGGGAATTGAAGTTCACCATTCTTATAAAATTATGCAGGCTGGAAAAATACTGGAAGAACAATTTGTGCAAGACTCGCTTGAAAGAAGGGGTGCCATTCTTCCCTCCCCCACAGAAAGGATGCATGTGGGCAAAAGGGATGCAAATTTTTCAGCTCTGCAGGGCTGGAGTGACTTCAGGTGTCTAAAAGTAAGGGGAAAAGGAAGAATACAGTTTTTGTTGTCGTCCCCCTTACAACCTCCCAAAGCAGGAGCTGTTTTTTCCATTGCAGTTTCATTGTTTCCCTGGAATGGAAAACGAATTCTGCCACCTGTGTAGTTTCCCTGGGTAGAAATATGGAAATGTTCTCTCTTGGTGGTCTCCCATCCAGTCACTGCAATCAGCAAAAGAAGATGTTGCTATTTCCATTTGGAAACCACTTCTGGACTTTGTGCTTGTGATGTAGGGGGGAAGAAACCAAAATGTTGACTTTGGATTTTGCTGATTAGATAGGTTTGTTGTTATAGAAATAGCTATTATATTACCATAGAAAAGTAAAAAGTTGATTACATTATTATTAATTTACTGTACTGCACTAAAAAGAATCAAAAGTCAGTGTTTCCCCCCTTTTACTCTTCACTTTTTTCTCTTTCCTTTCCTCTTACTTTTGTATTATTTTCATTTTTCTTTGCATTTTATATTTTGATAAACTAATAAAAAAATAAAATAAAAAAGACATTTCTATGTGAATAGATTGCTTCTCCTCCTTTATTGCTCCCTGGATCCCAACTCGTCCTGCCTTTAGAAAAACTATAAAACAACAGCTTAAATGTCTGTTATATATAATAATAATTTTATTGACCTTTTATGCCACTCAACTTCCAACAACTCAAAGTTGGCTTGTAAAAGGCAGAGGAATTACAATAAAAATGGTAAAAGATATTTGTCTTTTAATTTGCTGTTGTTTTTATTATTCTGGGGAGGAAAAAAGTAGCACAGAAATGGAAGTAAAATTACTTCTTTTTCTAAAAGATATATCTTAGTGAAAGACAACTGACAAAAAAGAATGAATCCATTCTATACACCGAAAAAACACCTCTTAATTAATGTAAATTAAAACATACTCCTACAAACATTACAATGATTAAAGAAAACTAAGAGGAGAAAAATAAGAAAGAACAACAAACGTAATATCCTTAAAAGAGTAGTTAAGATTTAAATTCCTAATTCAATCAAAGCCATGCAGAAATGTCTTGTTCACATTCTTCTTGTTTGTAGCATGTTTATCTTCTTGCTTGCAGGATTGTAAAGATATTTCAGAAATTAAATACCTATCTCAGCATCAGAAAAATAAACAGCTCTCCCTACATGAAATCATTCCCTTATACAAGTTCCACACTTAGGCAACATGCTTTATAATATATTAACCATTCCATATTTGAGAAAGAGAATTTTATAGCTTTTAAATTCCTATAGGAAAAGAAGGATTTGCTAAGAGAAACTCAATAGTTAAAATAGTTTAAAATGGGATTTTATTGTACTTGTTTCTTAACTTATGTTCGCCACTCTGAGTCCTTCGGGAGAATGGCAGCATATTAATACATTAAATAAATAAATAAATAAATAAATAAATAAATAAATAAATAAATAAATAAATAAATAGCGGTCCTACTACAAACTTTTCACACACAGAGAGAAAAACACATGCACATTGTTATGTAAAAATTAAATATAATAGTTTAGCGATATATTTGTTTGTTTTGTTTCTTAATCTCAACAGACAGCAGGGACTGGAACAAGAAAAAAACAAACCAAGGATTGAATTGGGATTTTATTAACTGGACTGGGAAATAAATACAGAAATTTGAAACATTTTATATGGAAACATTTTGTGGCAGACTCTTGCTTATGCTCTAATGATTAAAGGGTTTGCCCCCTCCCAGCCCTTTCCTGCAATCTTCTATTATCTCCTTTTTGCAAATTTGCAGAACGAGGCAGCATTGAAACAATAGCTTATCAGCAGCCATTGTATATTACAGTCCACAACAATTCATGTTTCTTTAGAAGGCATTTCTGCTATGCTTAATTGTGTTCGCTCTGGGGTAGGATGGCGGGGAAAGGATGCTTAATCTCGCAACATCTATGAGTTTTTAAAGGATGTAGGATTACTCAACCATTTACCTGATTTATAGCTGAGTTAAAATGAACTTTGAAACAAACAAACAAACAAAAAACCATGGTTGTCTAATGATTGTTGTAAGACACACCACATGTTCCATTTTCAAAGTAAATGCAACAAAACAAGAGAGATTTTAAAAGGTACGGTTTTCTTGTTGTTTGCATTTTAAAGTGCCGGCTATGTGTCTTCGTTCAATGCAGAAATTATTTATCCTTTTATCCAAGTAGTATATTCGTTTGGTGAATACGTTCCAGGGGTGAAATCCAGCAGGTTCTGACAGGTTCTGGAGAACTGGTAGCAGAAATTTTGAGTAGTTTGGAAAACCAGCAAATGCCACCTCTGGCTGGCCTCAGAATGGGGTGGGAATGGGGATTTTGCAGTATCCTTCTCCTGGAGTGGGATGGGAATGGAGATTTTGCAGTATCCTTCCCCTGCCACTCCCACCAAGGCATGGCCACAGAACGGGTAGGGAAAAATTTTGGATTTCACCCCTGGTCTGGGGTCCCCAACCTTGGCAACATTATGACTCGTGGACATCCAACTCTCAGAATTCTTCAGCTGGCTGAGGGATTCTGGGAGTTGATATCCACAAAAATTCCCAACCCCGGACCTTAAGTAATGATCTGGCTTTACTCTATCGGACCTTCCTAGTTATTAAAACCAATTGTTGTGTTCTGGCTTTCAAAATATATCTCATTATTAATGAAATTATGTAACTAAAATAAACTGGTATTTATTATGGCAAATCAATTGGGGTGGGAATGGAGATTTTGCAGTATCCTTCCCCT